GAAGACATTCTTTGGAAAGACAGACTAGTAAGGTGACAAATCAAGAATCAACATCTCACTACCCATGTCTTTCATAGAAGATCTTTTCAATATAAATCGATTTACCTTATCTTGTTGTTTCGTTACGATCGAATTTTGCATGACCTTACCCGCTGGTTAACGTTCGGACAATGTCTGACATGCATCTTCTTTATAATAGGCATAGCGTAGAAAAAAAAAGAAGGAAATGAATGCGGACGGCAGAAAAAATATATCCGACGGCCATTGTTCTTGCTTGACCTCGTCGTCTCCTCTTTTCTATCAGCCAATTGGCTCGATGCCCATAAATGTAAATTTTTCTTTCTTACTTGGCGACTCTCCAACTTCCTTCGTTTTTCTCCTATCGATATTTTCTTTTTTTTGGTGTATGTTAGTAACCGACGGGTATGTATGTCAAAATTTGACATCGATGGGAGGAATGGTGGCGCCCGTCGACGGTCACATGAGAAAGAAAAATAATTAGAATTGAATGGATGTGTTCGATGGACATGTTATACGATTAGAGACAACAAGCGAGGGAAAAGCACATGGCAAATATTTGTTTCGACCGAAACGAGAAAAAAAATGAAATGAGAGAAATAGGCATAACTGCTAGCGACATCGCATCCGGCTGTTAGATATTACATTCAGATGAGATATATAAATATAGCATACTTAAATCGATTAGCAATTAAATGAAATTTTCAAGAAAGACGATTTCTTTTGCTTTCTAAAATACTCGACGAGGCGAATCAATTTTCACGCTTAACAGTTAATTCTTTTTCGTTCAGTCATTAATATATTGAATGGAGAATCAATACACTGGCTACAAAACAAGTCAGTGATAGAAGTCAATTGAAAGTCACGTTTCTTTCTAGTCACTTTAATAGAAGACAGATCTTAAACATTATTGTCACTTTAATATGTACCATTTAATTAATAATCATATATGTATCACATAAAATGGTCTTGATGAATGCAAGTGATGAAAGTAAACCGAAAGAATGGTCGCAAAAGTTGTAGATTCACTATTAAAATTGTTATTGGAAGTATTGAAACGTATTCATTTGTATAATCATGACATTAATAATTTTCATTGTTCCAATTGAAATAGGTGTATCTTACGTTAGAAAAATGAATCATTTTTTAGTGATAGTAATAAGTAATATGTAGACTTGACTAAGAGACTGTATATTTTCATAATCATTCATAGATTAGATTTTCACTGATAGAACGTAGTGTGCTTTTTTTATCGAACAAATTACACAATCTTTTCAAAGAGTACTTTATTTTTCGAGCTATCCGTTGTTTTAATACGCATTCATTAAGAAACAGATTCAATATAAAACAGAAAACGAATAGTAGGATAACATTACTGATAAGATCAACTATTAATACTGTTTATGTGTTATGTTTTATTTTTTTTTTCTAATAGCATACGTTCTTGTTAATTTTGTATTATAAATTCTTATTACAGTATCGAAACATTTTTCAATGAAATGATAGTTTTGTTTTTTAAATAATTTACATCCTTTGGAAAATAGTTCATATTGAAATATGTGAAGAAATACTGTATAAATAGGCAAAAAAATCAATATAAAGAATCATTTTGACTTTATTTCATATTTGTTGTTGGTTAGAACATTAGCTAATCTCTAAATGTTCATATATTTTTTTCTGAAGATTTAAAATATCATTATATTACTTTGATGAAATTGAAATGTAACTTTTTAAAAACTTCTTTAAAAAGAAATAGTTGAATTATTATCGGTAAACATTAATTTATTACATGTACTTTTATTATTCAAAGCTCATAATCATATGATGATAGATACAATATCATCATAGTAACATAGTAAAATATGAAATTGGCAATCGAATACATCATGTTAATAATTATTTTCAAAGATCACATAATATCAAAGAAATTTACTGACTAAAGATCATCTATTTACTTATATGTATTCATCAAATTATTGTAGACATCCAAGATAACATTTTTCATCGGCCAGAAGAAAGTAAAAAAAATGTAAGCCTCTGATTTAGCTTATATTGTATTATTGTGTCATGAGTAATATATAATTCCATAAGTACCTTGACACACTAGACAACTGTAGATGTAATTTGATTCTTTCCTTGTTATTTTATTTGTTACATCCTTTATCGAATGCTTCCATTTTGATGGGGGTCATTTGAAAGCAATGACGGGTGGATATGGATGAGCGAATTTGATGTCTTGCGCAAGGAATCAATGTTCCCAAAAGTTAAAACTAATTAAGAAAACTATTACAAATGATCTATTGTCATCTTAAACCGAAACCTTTTAGTTATCAAGATGAGAAATAATGTATCGTTGTATGAAAAAAACTGTGCCGGGACTGTAGTTTTTGTAAATTCAATTTCGGTTTCAACTACGACAAAATTATTATGTGGTTTCACAGTATTTTGTAGATTTCTACAACCAACTATTTGAAATTGTTGATTGATGATAATGAAACTGGCGATGAACATGGATAGCTAGGCAACAACATTTTTCTGAGCATAAAGAGTATTTAACAAATTAACGAAGATGTTTTTGTCTGTTTCATTCCAGAAATCATTTAATCATTAATAAAATAACATTCTTTTTTTCAAAAAAGAAAATAGTGACAACCTTTTAAATCTTTGAAAAATTGCCTTTTCTCTTTACATCGGCCTATTTTAATCCAGGAACATTCATCGAAATGTTGACTCCGTCCACTTCGGCCCATATTTTTTTCATTCTAAAACGTTTTGAGTCATAGAGGAGTCGCGCTTTCTTTTATGCTATTTTTAATCGAAGTAATTTATTGATGTTCACAGTAATTACATACGTAATGGGCTAACTAGTGTAATGCTACGCTGCACTAAACCTAACCACTGGTTAGAAAAGAAAAAGTAACTTCTTTAGGCTGATCAGATCAACGAAACATAAGACATTCGATTCTTCCCTTTTCTTCCTAACAGTTGAGTCGCTTTTTCTCTTATTTAATAAGATTAGACGTTTCAGATTAACTGAATATCTCATCATCACATATAAAACTCTAAATTTCTGCTATTGAAGGCATAGATGGACTATTATATTCTAAATTTAAGGTATTTAAAGTATTCACTGTTGACAGTTTCAATAAAACTTCTATTCTTTCTTTTCTTGCAATTATTGAATAGAACTACTCGAGTTGTATTAGAAAATATCTTCTAAAATTCAAGAAGGAAGCGTCAACAAAAACCCTAAGATAACGTACATCCAAAAATAGAGGAGATACATCCTAGTTTTTGATTTTTATGAACCGTGTCATTTCTAGTTTTGAAAACAGACTTATTAGGCAACTCAATGATCTATGTGTGATCACCACAAGAAAACAGAATTGCGCTGAAATTATACAATTAATACATCTTGCTTACGTGACAGATACTTAAAAACTGAGTGCAAGAATAAACGAGGGTGTGCTAGGAAGTAGCTGTGAATGAAATGAAGTTCACTCACTGAACTTCTACCCTTAGGAAATATTGTTGCCGTTTATGGTGAGTTATTAATCTAAGCGCAAACATCGTCAACAGTGAAGTCTAGGTTCGTTTCTTATATGATTACAATGATTTAAACTACCAAATCTGAGAGAATACTCTACCAAGATCAATTTGATGAAAACAAGAAAAACTGGTACGAAATAAAATGTTGAATTGAGCAACTTTTGTTTAACAGTGGATATGATCTCAAAGGAATGATTTTTATAGTGGATGTTGGAATTTTTGAACATACGTTTTTTCACTAGACAAGTGAGCCACCGTTTTTGAAATCTTTAAAAAAAAATACATTTGCATTCGATCTGCATGAAGAAGAAAAGCTATATCATTTCAGACGATCTTCTATAAAATTGTCAGATTTGAGTTCAAGCAATGTCCTGAGAATAGATGACTTTGTTTTTCTCTTGATTTTCGTAGTGGTGCAGCAGTTCAACTTAGCTCTTAGTCAATCAAATATTCACAAAATCACACGCTCAGTACCCATGTTGCGAATACCGGATCAATTTTTGCGGTAAACCGCGGTATTTATCCATTCTGCGGTAATGGGAGCCGGTAACCGGACCGGTAAAACCGGCGGTTTTTTGCGAATGTTTATCACATGTAAAAGTAAAAAAAGGATCTTTAAAATAGTTTAATTGATGATTTAGAAGACTTTTTCTGTCAAAAATTATAGATGAACCGGTTAACCCAAGGGGGAAAAAGCTGATTTAACTCAGCTAAAAATCAAAATTAAATCAAATAAATCACCTTAAATCACCTTAAATCACAAAATCATAAATCACCTTTTCCCCCCTTGGGTTAGCCGGCTTTTTTAGCGGTAACCGCGGTAAATGCCAGTTCATTTTTTGTGGTAAACCGCGGTATTTATCCGTTCTGCGGTAATGAGAGCCGGTAACCGGACCGGTAAAACCGCGGTTAACCACCGATTTTCATGCGGTTTTTATTACATGGGTACACTTTAAATTATTTTATATTAACAATTTTTACATAGAAAAAAACATCAAGCAAACATTGAGAATGATTATTTATCAAATATTCAGTAGCTAACAAAATAGTGAAGTAAACAAGTAAAAAGCATATCATGATGGGAATATTAGAGTCATAAGAAATATGATTAATACAAGAGTCAATAGTAAAGCAAAGGTAAACTCATCATTTTCTTCAAGAATCATTCATTGTTGCTTCACATTTAATACAAGATAAATCAGATTGATCAGCAATAAAGCGAGTTTCATTGTGAAATATTTTGTTTTATTTTTGAGAATCTATTCAATTAAAAAAATGAGAAATATTTCAAAATTTCATCAAATATTGTTACCGATCAAAAAATATGGCCGAGAGTATGATTATCTGTCACATATTTCATTTTCTTTGAATAACATATTTTTTGAATCAAATTTTGATACAAACAAAAAAGAAAAACAGTCTTATTCACTGAATCATTTATCAAAAATTGCTTGAATCCATTTATTAATATTATGAAGTGTATTTCGTGCATCAGGATAATAAGGAAAAAATATTGGATAAGCATGCATCAAATGTAAGCCTTCTTCAAATGTAACAGCTACGCTAGCCCCCTCTGCCTTTTTTGCAACTCGTCTGGAATCATCTTCCAATATCTCAGCTGTACCAAAATTGATATATATGGCTGAAAATCCTTCAAATGAACCAAGCAAAGGACTAACACTAGGATTACCTGCAGATAATTGAGAAGTATTAGGACCTAGCATTAGTTTAGAGAATACATCCTATTCCGCAATGTTGAACATTCCGGAACCAGTTCCGCTCACGGAACCAATTCCATCTAATTCCCCGCAATTCCGTTTATCCCTTCCGATTCAATTCCGGAATTCCGGGAGTCACTGCCGACCAATTCCATCTAATTCCTGGAGTTCAGTTTATCCCTTCCGATTCAATTCCGGAATTCAAACGAATTCCGCCTAATTCCCAACGGTTCCGAAATTCAGTGCACTTACACTAACATCCACACCCACACTTATGGCAACACCCACGCTGACACCCACACTTACCGCAACACCCACGCTGACACCCACACTTACCGCAACACCCACACCATGCAATTCCGGTACGGAATTCCGGGAATTAGGTCAAACAGGAATTGAACGGAATTACACGGAATTCCGTCTAATTCCCAGCGATTCCGTATTGACCTAATTCCGGACCGGAATGGGATCATCACGAAATGGTTAAAACAAGCTAGAATAGTGATACAAGTTGTAATTCTGGAATTACTAGCAATTCCGTGTAATTCCTAGGAATTCCGGGAATCGGACAGTTTTCATATTTGACCTAATTCCGGAATCGACGGAACTGATTCCGGGGGCGGAACTGACTCCGGAATGTTCAACATTGCGGAATAGGATGACTGCTCACCTGATCCGGAAAGATCTGCCCATGGTGATAGAACAATAACACCACGGGGAACATATAATTGACGTGTAATTAAAGTTTGAATGGTTAGTAGTGAAAGACCACCACCTCCTGAATCTCTCATAATAAGTATTTGCGATGGTGAAATATTATTGCGAAGAAGTGCATGATATAGTGCAACTGTGTCGTCTACACTTGCAAGTAATGGATGTTCAGGACAAAGTCGATATTCCAAATGAAGTATAGTTACATTAAAAAGGTATGGATTTAGATGATCAGTAAAATAGATGGCATGATCAGTAAGAAAAAATATTATAAAATCTATTGATTGAATGAATGATCAGTTATATATTAAAGTATCAGTAAACTAGTTAAATGATCAGTTGTTAAACTAAAAGTTATGTAATAAAATTGTAGTATCAGTCAATAAAATAGAGTAACAGTTAGTTAAAGCAAACAATAAGTAAAGAAGCCAAAAAGTATAGTCTCCAGAAGTTTGCTAAAATGACTCTCGCCAATACTGGCGAAAATGTACCACATTTTCAACTATTAGAGCAAACGATATTGATATATGCTACGGACTCTTCACAAATCCCATACAGTTGATCTTATGTTCTTGCCAACTTGACGAACCTACAGCAACTTTTGATCCAAAGCTGAATGATTCAAAGCCTGTTGTTACTATAGTGAACTGCTCAAGTTGACTGTCGTGAATATTGGTGAAAATCGAGTATCCCAAAAAATACATCAGAAGGGATTTATGGTGGGCTATGACTTTGGCTGAATTTGATGAAATGAATCTAGTGGACACAAACAGCCACAGTCCCCACTCACTCACCATCATATCACGCCTACACCCACCATCGCGATGGGTATTTGTTTAAAAATTTGTAAACAACCATCGGTAGCAAAAACTGCCTCTATTGTTATGAAAAGAAAAAGAAGTCGACCAGAAAAAGGAAAACGTACTTTGCTAATGCAATAATTTATTTCTGATTTTTCCCATTTCAATTTTTTTCTTTTATTCGATACTATATTTTATGGATATTTTTCATCTTTTCTACTGGTAAATCTGTCTTATTTACTTATCAAATTTCTTTTTTTTACTGGTAAAAATGATATCTTTTTACTGCTGTTTTATATAACATAAACTGATCACTTTCTCATTATTTACAGGAAATCTAATTACTAATCAATTAATTGTTAAACTGATCATTCAATCTTTTAACTGATCATTTATAGACTATTTTACTCCTCATTTCATCTATTTTACAAATCAAATATTTTGTTCCCATTAAATAATAACAAACTTATATATTCATTAATTGTCTTTTGCTTTAGATTATTATAGGTATGATCCAAATGACACGCTAGGAGATATATATATATGTCGTAGGCTAATCCCGGATTGGTCTAGGCCATTCTAAGATCCGAGTTTGGACTAGTCCAATCTTGGATTGATGCAATTCTATTCATTAATATATCAATAACTTTTTACATAAACTTTGGATTTGAGTCATTTTTTGAAATCATGTTCATACGACGCCAATTTGCTTTCTACAATAGGTTTTGGAAAGATTAAAGTAAAATATTAGGAGTTATGAATAGATTTCTCTACGGGAACAAGTTTTATGAAAAATTGTTAATAAGCTTCCGAGTCTAAAGTAAGCGTCTCCGTGAATGTTTGTAATACATAAAACGACGTTATCTGAACATGAATTCAAAAAATGACTCAAATCCAAAGTTTATGTAAAAAGTTATTGATATATTAATGAATAGAATTGCATCAATCCAAGATTGGACTAGTCCAAACTCGGATCTTAGAATGGCCTAGATCAATCCGGGATTGGCCTGAATCCGAGATTGGCCTACGACATATATATATATACGTATATATTAGTAAGGGGATGGATTTAGATAAGAGGATAGATTAAAGTTAAGGAGTTAATTAAAGTTAGAGGAATAGATTAAGGGTAAGTGATAGATATAGATAAACTAATAGGTTAAGGTTAAGGTTAAGAGTATATATATATGTATAAGTGATAATTTAGGGGATAGATGCGTAGGACCACAGAAATACAATTATGGTGATTAGGATATAGATTTAATATGATTCTACAGATTTTCTCATGTAGTCAATTTTATGAAATACCCCTGTCGAAGAAAACGATCAGTAAACGGTCGTATACGATGCAAAAACGACCGTTTACGGTAATGTTACGCCGGTTTACGGTGGTCCGTTTTGATCGACTTGGGTATCGTTTTATAAATAGAATAAAAAATTAGTCTGAAAAATTACAAGATCGAATACATCTTCATTTAAATAAGGATGAAAAACAAGAGATAATACCAATTTAGCAATCATCACCTACTCGAGCTGTAAATACATCAAACAAAAAAAGTTCGTTTTTTTTTCTTTATTAAATTTCTCTTTTTCCAGTTTTTAGAGAACTCCATCACTACCATAATTAATTAAACATACTTGATCATAATGGTAATGCATTAAGTTTACATGTATCACATATTCCATTTACATGGTCAAAAAAAAGTAGCTGCAGTTTTTCGACTTTATATTTAATTTACAGTGGCGAATCTACCAGTTAGACTATCCGGCGATCGCCACCCCCCTTAAGAAGTTTTTTTCGATTTTTCCCCAGCAGAAATGAAACAGAAAATAGTCGTTCTGCCTTAACTAGACTTGAAAAACCGTTTTCTGACCAGGAGTGCCACCCCCTAACAGATTTTCTGGGTCCGCCACTGTTAATTTATACTTTAAAATTGTATCGTTTATTCATTAATAGATAACTAGTCATTTATGACAAGGTAATATTTAATTAATAATTGATCATAAAATTGATTTTCTTTTATTTTATATAGATCTTGTTGGACTTGATGATTATATGTAATTATAAACAACGGTGAATATAGTTTTTGTTCAAATGAGGGTAGATTCGATGATAGTACATTATGTCCACGAACAAATGCAACTGATAATCGATTAAACTGGCTTCTTCATTTAAATACCACACCATCAATCGATACTGGACTAGACAGAGATCATATTGATAGTATAGTAAATTATTTAAATAAATTTATTTTTAAAATAATTTCTATTTTAGCTACGAATAATGGCTATTATATATATATATATATATATATTGAAACATCTTCACCAACTCAATCTAAATGGATAACTCGATTAGAATCAGAAATTTATTATTATAATCGTCCAATATATTTTTTATTTTGGCATAATTTGTAAGTTGATTTTTAACATATTATTTCAATGATTTTATCTTTTTTCAATTATGATTGAATCAATATCGCCTGTTTAAGCATTTATTTACATGCATTAACATCAACTAATTTTATTGACAGAATCATTAGTTTGAATATTAGCTGGACAACAACAAAAATAAGGGAAATATTCATTTGCACCTATTCAATGAAATGGACGTTATCAAATAATAATCGACGATATTCGTGGAAAATTCTATGAAGATGATGCTATCTGTTAGTGATATTGGATTTTTATCAATAGATTTATGTACATTACAGCCAGTTGATTTTGGTTCAATTTAAGTATCTCAACAAGCAATAAATTGTGCATTTGAAGAAATTTTTTATCAACAGCAGTTTGATCCAACTGATACCGGACTAAGTGTAAGTAAGAAAATAAGAAATTAAAAATTAAAATTTTTTTTTGCGATTGATTAGGTGCGGATAATTGGCCGTATTACATTTATATTGGAGCAAGTTATACACAAAACGAAGATGATGATGTTGATCTTATATGACCAGTAGTAACAAAAACAAGAAAAATAATGTGTTTTTAATTTTCTTATCATATGCAAATCTGAGCAAAAAAACATTATGCTTATTGTGTTTTTTTTCTAATAGATGCAGTGCGAATATTGTTTCATTACAAATCTTATCTATTCAAACTATATCTACCGGCCAACAAGAAATTTTTACTTTGGGAATGTAATGAAACACAAGCAAAAGAATTTCGTGCTGGACAAATTAATTTATGTGATGTTTCATATGATTTTGTTGATGTGGTGGATGAGATGGAGATGCATGCTGAAGAATTTTCATTTTGTTTTTTATATATTTATTTATTTGAAAATTATAGATTGCCTTTAATAAAATATTTTGTAACCATTGATGAATGTCCACCTTTACCTTATTGTGATTCTGAAACGTCATTTTGTGGATGAACTAATGATACAACAGGTGATGTCTATTGAACATGTGTACAAAAATCAACAAATACAAATGATGCTGGACCAACAACATATCAAATGAAAATAGTCACCGCTCGTCATTGACTATCATGCTCGATTAAAAACAACATGATAAACAATGATTGGCTTTATTTTTTTTACACAAGATTCTATAATGATCCGATTCTGTTCATCTTTATCTTATCACTTTAGATCTAAAAATCAATGTCTTTCAAGAAAACAAAACGAAGTGATTGTCCATTTCCTCGTCCCAATGGTCAATACTGTCTTCGAAACGATTTAAACTGGGACAACTTGTGAGTAATACTTCATCTGAAGTAACTTTTTAAACATATGACTTTAGGGAGGAACACTTAATGGAAGATCCGCATTCATTATCCAAAGAAAAAGCCAAAATATATGGCAAAATTGGTTCGAGAGAAACTATCTAGGGAAGACCCATAAAAAAAGAAACACATTTGTAAGTAACTGATTCTAGTTTTTTTCATGTCTATTCGTTGATTTTCATAACCTCATATGCCAGTGATTCCATAATCATCTTCATCGCTGGTACATTTTGTCTGATAAAAATATAGGATAATGTACGATCACAAACTTTTTATTCAATAATGTTGAATAATTCGCGAAAAAACAAAACTATTGTTTAAATTGTAGTAATGCCAGCGATAACTTTCAGGTATCCGATTGGATGCATATAAAGAAAAGAAGAAAGATATTCCTCCATCAAAGCTTTCATTGTTCGCTAATAATGAAGAAATATTGATCAATGATCAATGTATTTTCTTATCTGTTCGTCCTCTCCTCTATTTTCATTTGTCTTTCGTAAGAAGACTATTAAATGATTGGCAAACATAAACAAAGAGCTTCTCATTAATTATTTTGCTCGCTAATTGGATCTGTCTACGAAATAAAAAGAATAGAATTGTGAATTTATTTTGTATTATTATCAGAAAATACACATACCAGTGTTGAAGACGAATATGGAATCACTAATGCAACAAGTTACGAAAATGATCGAAAGAATGTCGAATGATCTATTTGGCTCACATGAGCAACCGATCATAACAGTGGTAAGGGTGTTCTTCGTGTGCTACTAGTTTGCTCAGCCCAGGTCGAGCAATCCGACAGTAGGCACCTATCGGAACCCATCCGATCCGACTGGAATCCAATAGGACTTTATCGGATCCTGTCAAATCTTACAGAATTATCGTTGGATTCCGGGTCAAGGAATCGATGTCGGATCCTCAGTGTCGGATTCCTATGAATTTCAAGGAAAAATCGTTGTATGTCATCGGAAGTTCATAGGATTCCAACACTGACGATCCGACGTCGATTCCTCGACCCGGAACCCAATATAATTGTATCGGATTGTAGGATATTTTCAGGTTCCTATCGGATCCGATGTCGGATCAGTCGACCTGGGAATAATATTGCACCATATTAGTATAACGTAAATGTATTGAAATTGTTATATTCGCTGCAGAAAGATGATATTACTTCTACGAATTTTTACATCAATGTACACAAAATGAGCAACGAATTTGATGAGCAAACATTTTATTTATTGCAAAATTTAATGCATTCATTTAGTACTAGTCAGGATATTAGTTATGATATCTTGTTAATTTTATTAATCGAAAAGGAAAAGCGAAATTTCGAGGAACAATCCCATGTCGCCTCTTTTTTACTAACTGCGTCGCAGCTACGCGCAGAGCCAATTTTACGTCGTAGTTACGTGTAAATACGGCGCATTGATCGTAGTGAAGACTTTTCTTAAATACTACACCTAATGCGACCCAGATCAGCGTAACTGCGTTCTAGTGATCGCATCACACGAACCGTTGTAACTGTAACTGTCCAATTATAAATAATTCCTTCTCATCTGTAATTGGCCACTCTCGAACACTAAAACTTAGTCATAGAAAGTTACTATGAAAAGCACTGTTCATCGAAAGTTTGGTTCATAAACACATTCTACTATAAACAGTAGAATACATGTTCCGAAAAATATTTCAATATTTTTCTCATTTAAGTTTTATTAATATTTTTTTTATTTTAATTATTATTAATATATTTTTATTTTTCAATTTAAAAAATTTTTCTAGATTTTGTTATTAATTTTAAAAATTTTAAAAACATTTCTAAAGCTTTTTTTAGGTTTTTTATTTTTAAAATTTTTCTAATCTAAGTTTTTTTCTTTTGTTTATTAAATTGTAAATAATTTTTTAAATGTTAATTTTTTGATTTTTACAGATACCTATTTATTATTTTCCTTAATTATTTTATATTTTAAATACTTTTTAACTTTTAATTTTTTAGTAATTGTTTTATTTCTCAAGCTTTTGTTTTTAATTTTTTATAAAAAGTTTTAATTTTATAGTTTTAAGTTTTTTATTTTCTGTGCTTAAAAATTTTTCTTTTAACTCATAATAAAAATAAGAATGAAAATAAAACCTAATCTGTATCATCTCATGTAGCAACCGCGTTGCATTTCTGCTGCAAAAATGATCGCGCTCTGACGCGTAATTGTAAAAAAATGCGACTCAGCTACGCGTAACTATGATTCTTTCCCCATAACTACGGGTTATTGCGATTTTTTCATCGTAGTTACGCGTAACTATGTCGCAATTTTCCGCAATTATGGGTCACGGTGCGATCACAGTTACGCCGTAACTACGCCGCAGTTTCATCGTAATGAAACATATGGGTTCAATAATAACAGATTTCATTAAAGATAGTTATCGAACAAATGATGCAAGATTGACGTCTTTACTACGACAGCAAGATTTACTATCTGAATTTAAATTAACAGAAATCGATGTAATGGACAAAATCTAAACTAAATATTTCAGTCATTTAGCTAATCAGAGTTAAGAAAAAAAATTCATTTACCTTTTTTATAGTCATATTTTTTTCTCCTTTTTTGTTCTTATTTCTAATAAACATTGAGGGTGTGGGTAGTGATAAAAGGAAATAGCATCCACATGCAAAAACGTAGTACTTCTCGATATGTTTAATCCTATTTGAATTGCCCAAGAACGCTATTTATTTAAGATCGAAAAATAAAAAATTGTGGTGATGTCTTTCCAGTCATATTTAGTAGTTTATCGAGGTATTCGCTATGTTTTCACCATTTATTCGTAGCTCGATTTATCTACCCAGTCAGACAAGCAACGAAAACTAACGCGTAAAAACAAAAAACCGTACATTTTTGCGATTTTATTTTCGTTAAAAATTCTACGCATTTTTACGCGTTATTTTGTTGAAATAAGTGACTTGATAGAGGAAAAACAGCTATAATCCGTACACTTACATTGCTTATGAATTATCTATATAGTTTTAAACAAGATGAGTGTACAAATTGTAGCTGTTTTTCATATATCAAATCACTTATTTCAACAAAATAACGCTAAAAATACGTAGAATTTTTAACGAAAAGAAAATCACAAAAATGTGCGGCTTTTTTTCGCTTTTACGCGTTTTTTTTCGTTGCTTGTCTGACTGGGTTACGACCGGTTGTTGCCCAATGGCAACATACAGCCATTCAACATAGAAGCATTGTTCAATTTTAAGAAATACTTTTTTGCTATCTCTATGGCACGATAAGAAAATATATGCAAAAGAAGAGTTTTAACTATGCCGCTTCTGGGAGCCGGCTGGAAAGGGTTAAACTTTGAAAATGACGAATATTCATTAAAGAAAAAAGCTTGCATGGTTTAAAAAAACAATTCAGTTCGAATTCATTCTCATTGAAATTCTATCTAGCGACTAAGCATTCGATCATAATACACAATAAAACAGTCACAAGTAGATAAGATCAAGAAAAGAAGAAAGATGAACTCTTTTGGATTCGAATTAGTCTCACTTAGATTTTAATATGAACAAAGTGTCGCATTTTTAAATTGAAGCTTATCCTTGAGAATCTCTTCGATGACTATAAGGTTGCAAAGTCAAGATATCATTTTATTTGAAAGCCGATATCGAAAAATACTGAAAACAAGGTACAAATATATATGTTTAAACATCAATTAAACATCAGCCTCTGGTACGATAGAAAATTTATGAAATGCATCAAATGAGCCATCCATTGACGGTGATATTTTCCGCATATTTGAAAAATCGATTCGAACAGGACTAATTGTGAGTATATCTTCGTTGTTGTGTTGTTTACCAATCGACAACATCTGAGCTTTCGATTTTTCTTTGCGTTGAAGCGCTCTTGCAGGAAGAAGGCGCCTCTGCTCATGGATTCTCATTCTTTGAATTAAAATATAAAGCATCAGTGTCCAAAAGCCTTCAAAAGCGTTGAAAACAACGAAGAACCATCCCAATATGTCTGCAGTTTGTTCATCTACAAATGGTAAAAACAGTCCAAAAAGCCAGCCAATACCTTGAGTGATACATGATGCAATTAACACCAGTACACATCGCTTCATTCGTTCATAAGTCCCATGGGGCGACTTAGAACGTCTTAGGTGATCAACTAGCCGCTTACCAACGAGCAAAAGCATATATATATTCAATATAAGACACAAACAAATCGGTATTGTCACAAAATAGTGAATAACACGACGAGTAAACCAACATATTTTCATTGCATACAGTTGCGTGATTCCCAGAGATGAATTCGAATTAAAGCCAGCAGCAAATGCAACATATGTGATAGAAATAAAAAAAGAAGTAATAAGAAAAGTATATAGTTGTTTGAATGATGCCGGAGGAAATAGATGTACAAAGTTAATATAATTGAAGTAGGCGACGCTTGTTTTAATACAAAACATAAGTATTAGAAGAAAATAGACGAAGAACATGAGGATACTAGCATTTAGGAAACAAATTTGTGAATCCTTTGACTCGGGTGACATAAACACAGTCAAAGTAAGAGCAATGTAAAAAATAAATAGAATCATCGTTACTGCAGTTGATACAAGTGGTAAGAGATCCTTCGCTTGTAGACTCATAACTGAATTAGTGATTCGAGTATAAATGACATGGATAATCACAGCCAGGAAGCAAATGATTGAAATAGATTGAAATACGAGTGATGCAATGTCCTGAGCAGTGAGTTTGCCACTTTCTGAGGTTTTCGGCAACCATATAAGAGCAAATGAAGTTAAATGATTGCAATTACATTCGTATCGGTCCCAAGTAGAATTATAAACCGGCATTGAACATCCTGATTCATTCCAGCTTGCCGTGTGGCTATCGTAAAAAGAACAAAAGAAATCGACGTTTTTGGTTGGATCTACAACGAAATCTTTCCGAGCGCGGAAATAGAGGGAAATATTCATGCCTGATACAAGCTGCTTATCACTGCTTTGAAGATTGGCTACTACAACAGATGATGCCAATTTTCTATTCAGCGTGTCCGTCACATTTAGATATTCAATAGGCTTATCGATCAGCAATATTCGGAGAAAATCAATAGAATCGAATGATTTGAGACTATAAATACCACCCACAGAAATATTTGCATTGACATCTCTAATAGAAGACTGCTGTACAACAATTTTACCACCACTCTGCGTTAGAAAAACGGCACCTATCATAGGGCTCCTATTATCTATTAAAGGCTTTTGTGACATAATTAACCCGTTTTCAACACTGACGTTAACGCTAATATTTAATCGAGAAACAGCATAGTCGATGTCATCTGGTGTCAATTTTTCATTTACTATTGTCTGGTTGAAGTATGCAATTAGAGCATTAGCAATTTCGCTTGCATTCGATTGATTACTACGAATTATAGACACCAGAGAATCCTAGATACAATAACATAAGATAATATAATTTATGTGCTAATCTCACTTTCATAATAATCTTAAACTTACTTGGAAAGGCGTTGTCGTCTGAGTTGATAAAGTATTCAAACTTGTTGTTTCACTGTTGATGGATGTGAAGAGTTCACGTGGAAATGTATGGCAAATGGTCGTCGTATGATATGTGGTAGACGTGAAAACCACTACAGGTACTGATGATAGTAATGTTTGCAGACGAGTTGTATCACTCAATATCATTTCAGTAACATCAATGTAAGAACTAGTATATCCTGTCCCATAAAACGAAGAAGACTTCATCGGTGTCCCACCTTCAGTTGAAAATGCACCCGCAGTAGACGATTGATCCGTATTTATTTTCGAAGTCGCTAAAGAAGACGATTGTTCAGTTGATTCTATTGTTGTACTATATGTGAAAGTAACAATATTTATATTCGATGCCGACCCTGATTCAGTAAATTCACTCGAGGCTTCACTTGTGGCTCCACTCGAACTACTCGCTATTACTGCGCTTGTCATCTCTGTTGTTGACAACACTTCCATACTTGCTCGTGATAGTGTATTATCTGAAGTTGCGCTTGTAGTGTTACTAGTTGCTGAGGTTATTACACTCGTACTTATTGTCGTGGTGCTTGTTGTGGTACTGGTTGTCGTTGTGGTACTTGTAGTGGTGGTATTTGTAATTGTGCTAGTTGACGTTGTGGTACTCGTAGTAGTGCTAGTTGACATAGCAGCACTGCTTGTTGTGCTTGTTGTAATCGTGGTACTCGTGGTGCTCATTATGGTAGTTATTGATGTTGTGGTGGTACTAGTTGTCATGGTGGTGCTAGTGAATGTTGTGGTACTTGTCGTTATAAAACTGCTGGGTGTTTCAGTGGTTAGTGTGGTAGAGGTTGTCGTTAATGTTGATGTCTGGATACTTGTTGTTGTCAATATTGTGGTTGTAGTGATTGAAGTGATTATAGCTGTTTGTGTTGCGATTGATTCAGTTGTGATAGGCGTGGAAGATGTTGTGTCGGCAGGAATTATATAGCACAACAGCGTGGTGGTCAGTGAGTCAGAAGTAATGAAAAAATTTCCCGTCTGCGGATTTAAAGTTGCTAAAATAAGGCGAGCTAGTTTGTATATGCTGGTTGATTCCAAGAACTGAAGCCCTCCTCCCTTAGAATCGACTTGCCATTTTGAAGTATAGGTTTGGGCTGAAACTTTCACAAATGAATGGCCTAGTGAGAAACGCTTCTGGTAAAAGTTTTAGCCTTGTATACCTCACTAAATTAGACTTATGACTTGTTTTATAGCTTCCGTGAGAATTGCTATAACTTCATGACTATGATAGGTGTCGTGGTGGGGTTGGTTTTAAATTAAAGCTAACGTCCGTACACCACTTTTCGTCACACAGAATTTTGAAATTACCTTCTGTTCATTTTTTATAAGCATTTTACTCGGTATGACTGCTAAAGTAGGTATAAAAAACGCACTAAATCGGACTTTTCTCAGTCCTGGAATCCAAAATCGAAAATCCGTCTGATAAAAAGTTAGCTATAATTGAGAGCTTTAAAATAAAAAAAATATCTCGGAAAGTTAAAACGAAACGAAAGTTATAGCAATTTTTCTGCTTGAGATCCATGTTTTCAGACCAACAGTTAGGAATTTTTAGAAAGGTGTAAGGGAGTAAGGGAAATGAAAGAGTAGTTCTTCAATAAGTCTGTCAAAACATAACATTTTTTCAAATAATTCTATATATTCTGAAAGAGGAGGTCACGGGGAATCTTCCTATGATAAAAATTCGATTTCGGTTTATTTCGAAAAATCGACTTTTCTGAGGCGGGGGACCTTTAACTCATTGAATTTAGTGGGTAGAAGTATGTTTCAAAGTTTACTCTACTGGAACGAAATTCAGATCAGTTAGGGACGACTGTGGTGAAACGATGGATGAATTCGATTACCGTATGTGTATTTTTCTTTCACAATTAAAGGGAAACAATTTTTCCTTTGAATATCCACACTAAGATTTAAAAAAAGAATGGAGTGAAATATTTTTGAAGAGTTGAAAGTGCCATATTAGAAAGATAGCACTTTCTTATGGTTTTTCCGCTCTTTAAACTGTTTGGTTGATCATCCTTGGTTCATTTTCGAGAATGTTGGTAAGGCATATTTATTTTAATATTTATTTGGAATTATCTGAAGTATTATTAAGAAGTTAATTTAATTTTTGTCTTAGCTTGCCAAATAGATATTAGATCATTCCGACTAAGATTTAAAAATTCAAAGCTCACATAGTACTGAAAAGCACGGAAAATTCAAGTTTTTGACGATGGTCCTAGAATTAGTTACTAACAAAGATCAATGCTTGTATTCATGTGGGTTTCAAGTGAAATAAACTTTTAAGATTTGCTGGTAAAAGTAAATTATGTATCATTGATCATTTGGTGAAGAAAATCTTATAATAATATCAAGAAAAACAGACTAATGCTTGAGTTTGATTTAGAAAATCGTTTGAAATTCAAAGCGTTCTGAGAGTAAATTGGCTAAAAGTGGGTATATGTTTTTCTTTATTATGTGTTGGAGTCATTTTGGATCTGGTGTATATCAAAACGTGTAGATTAGTGAGAAAGATAGCTCCCACCTAGTACGTTGACCATCTTTTGCATGACAGAAAGTTTTTCCACAGTAAAATATGTTGAGAGAAAACATGTCAGATATATCATAGTTTAGATCATTCATTAATGAATGTAGATGAATCACAGCAAATATACGTTAATCGAAAATTTTAAGACAATCTTGAATAGATGTCAGTGTTGTGTGAAAGTCTATTTATTTTATGATCTACATGCACATTAGCTGCCCAGGTGAATGAATCATATGACGGATCCTATCGGATCTGATGGGATTCAGGGTTACGGGTTGACTGTCGGTTCCGACGGTAAAAAGCATTTTCTTAATTAGGGGTGAATATGTATATTTTCTCATAAGAACACTAGGGTCATACGTTCATGTCGGATTCCGTTAATTTCCAACGCTGGATCCTATGAAATTCCTACACCAAGGATCCGACTGTAGGTTCTGATCTCGGAATCCTATGGGATTTCGTTGGTTTTATAGGAATCCATGAATATTTGGCATATTTACGGTCTGACCCTTGTCGGAATCCGATAGGATCCTAGTCTCGGAATGATTTTCCTGGGTGTGCATGACCATTATGCTAATATCCGTCTGACTGAAACATAGACAGGGTGAGTTGTATATGATTGAGAAATTGTATCATAATCTTCCATGATGCGATGCTACATTTAAAAACTCATCGAAGACGCTTATTTTGTACATCATTCGATATAATATCAGGTGCCGCTTTCAGCAAATAACAAATATTTTAAAATGAATACTGTACATATTATTTTACAGATATTCGTTCAAGATATTTTTTACGTATAGAAATGATGTAACCAGATAATATTTTAATACCGTTGTGCTTTTATTATTTGAAAAGATTTCACTAGCTTTTGTGGTGAAATGATTGCATATTGTAAAAAGATGACGTAAATATTAAGTTTTCTAATCTTTGACAAAGTATCTTCGATCGTGACTGTATAGGTTTGGTAATATTGTCAATTAATTATATCAGACCGATAGAGAAAATTGTAACCTTATAGGGGTGCAGTCACTCTTGTTTGATTTATTCTCCATCAAAAACATTTGCTCATATATATAATGCTTGATATTTAGATAAGATTCAAAAATTTGAAAATTTTGTACCAAAAACTAAGAAGTCTTTATGGTGAATATCAGATTGAATAAATGAAACTCACCTAATAAAGAATAGAAAATATCTATTGGTCATAAGTAGGAGTGAACCATTTAATTTAATGCGAGTTAATTAACGGCGTTAATTAACTAAAAGCATTAATTTTAAATTAACATAAACGTACCACCCCTAATTCACACAATTAAGAACATTGATAAGTATTGTAGTTGTAGGATACATTACCAATCCATTATTTTTGATCCAGTAATATATTGTCCACAGAGGAAAATATTCATGAAGATCAATACTTTCAGTGTGTACTCATTATTGTTTTTCGTCAATATATGAAAGTAAACAGAAAAATGTTTAACGATCTGTCGTCAAATTACTTTTCTGTTCAATCGATCCAGTGATCGAATCTAATTCCCAGGACTCTAAGCTACTTTTCTATCAACTAGATAACTGAAAATTCATAACAAAATAGATTCCACAGTCTCCACTTTCCATGATCTGAAATGAAAATATTCATGTCTTTGCTCATCATAACTCTTCCATTATAGACCAACTATCGAGTCAAAGAATAACACAGGATCATATGAACTAGTAATTATGTCTAAACTTAAATTTCTAGTTTTAAAAGTATTACCTGTATTCCGTGAAGACAATGATGATGATATTGTTTCTTCAGTAGAGCCTAACTGTGTTGTTATAGGACGAACAAATAGTGCTGTATAGACGAACCACAGTGTAAATAAGATGTTGCTCTGCATAAGATTATTCATTTTTAAAATAATCTAAAAGCAGATTAGCAGCATATGAAGAATCATGTATTGAGCATGCCAAAAGCATGGCTTTATGTGGTTTTCAATGATTTTTATTCTTCATCCTCTAAATAATGTTTCAAATATTTTTCGAAAATATGTTTCATTCCTCATCGAGCATCCACAGACGCATCCACCTCGGTACAAAATCAGAAAAAGTGTCAAACAAGAGAATCAGTAGAAAAAGAATGTTGTTCAATACTTTTAATGTATATGTAACAACATACCGAAAACAATAAACTACCATACGGAATTTAGTAAGTTCCACTATGTATGAGAAATTTCTCTAAACCCCTTCAAAGGGATTATCAATTTCCTAAATCACTTAATATACCTTTCCACAGGATTTCGAAAAACTTAATCTTATTCAAAATTCCTATAATGCTCAGTTTGATGAGTTGTTAAAGTAAAGCTAAATGAAAAATATAAATAAATTGATTTAGTTTAAATAAAAATTACTCATGATTTTGTTATTGTGATTAAGCTGATTGAAGACGAAAAACGAATATTTCTATGAGACTATAATATACTTGTACATGATACCCAGGTCAATGATTCCGGAGGACGGATACTGTAGGAACCGGCCGGAAAGATGCGGAAAAATCACCGTATCTGACCGGAAAGCATGGGAAAGCACTGGAAACTGGAAGCAGTATTCCAGTTGGAAGTTACCGGATTTTTTTCCTGTGGATTCCGGTCAGTTTCCTGTGTTTTCAGGTCAGTTTTCTGTGTTTTACATGAAGAAAAATCCGGTAGCTTCCAACTGGAATACTGCTTCCAGTTTCCAGCGCTTTCCTGTGCTTTCCGGCCGTTTCCAGCCGTACGTCCACGACCTGGGATTTTGATCTTGATATGCAACTAAACGTAGAAATAAAAGCATTATTTAGATGAATATAATATTTACACTTGATTTTTGAATTTGAGATACTCAACTAAATGAAGAGAAAAAAGAATTATGAATGAAACAAAAATACTCACATACGATTTTTAGCTTCATACACAACTAAATAAATATAAAAAAGAAATACTTATCAAAAACGAACCTTTATATTTAACTGCATAGTTTCGAGAAATGGCCGGAACATATAAGGGGGTATTTTTGGACTGTGCTGCGATTCGACCTATATTTCCTATAATTCCTATATTTTCAAAAAAGTCCTATTTTTGTCCTATATTTTTCTAAAAAGTCCTACTTTCCTATATTTTATCGAAAAAAGTAGAAAATTTCCGAAAACTTCTTCATTTGGCTATTGTCTTTAGTCGAAATAAAAACTTTTATTGTGAATAATCATGTGTTTTGGACGAATTCTTGTATTATAGTGACATTTGTTTTAAACAGTATGTTTCCTTTCGTCTATTTAGTGGGCTGACTGAGAAATTGTTTAATACTAAGTACAAATAGGGGTGCAACAGTGACAAACAGTCACCGGTATACCGTCACTGTTTCACCATCACCGGTCGCACCGGTAACCATTAATGATTTCACCAGTGCTAGATTTTAGTTGATTCATTTGTACTCTTTGCCTTAATAGCAAGTAATTGATGTTTTAGGAACAAATTATATTCCTCAATACAATCAACGAAAATATCTCTGGTTAACAGTGGTGTCAATTCAAGCTGACTCTGTGCTAGAATCGATAGTCCAGAAAAGTTCAAATGATGAATAAAATCAACAATTTAGAATGTTTCATTTATACATCTCTTTGATAATCAGCTCAAGTAAGCAAAAAATGAAGGGAGACAGCCGACATGACTAGTCAGAAATGTCCGCAGCTGCCATCAAGTCTAGTCTGAAACGTCTTGCATACTCGCCTTGTCTAGTCAGCTTAATGAGAAGTGTCTTACAAACGCGTCTGTACTAGTCTGAAATGTCCTTGAGTCCAGTCATGTCTAGTCCATGTTGTCTGTTGACCCAGTCTAGGCTACTAAGAAGATTAAAAACAGAGGTTATACGGTGGATTTGAACATCTAGCCCGACAGTGTTCGAGATATGACGGACATCCTGACGGGAGACTAGGATACAGAGATAGACTGCCTTAAGTATATATAGTCTAAACTTATATGTTGACTCCCATCCATGCATAGAAAATGAGAAACAAACCGACATAAACGGTATTGACTAGTCTGAAGCATCTTTTGGACACCTCATGACTAGTTCGTTTTTAAGAAGTGTTTATTTTACTCAATGCTTATCGAATTTTTTCTAGCTAGAAGGACAATTAGAGAGTCTGCTGTAATCAATAGTGCATTCCAAAAGATTTAATATATTGCGTGCATCCCTGTCTTGATATATTTTATTTTATTTTGCATTAACATATGCTAAAAGTAGTTTAAAAAAATTGAGAAGCATCTAAATCTTTTCATATAATACTGGTATATTAGTTTACCTTTAAGATCAATTCTAATAATTTAAAATAAACCAAAGATAATTTAACTATTATATGAATATATGGTGATTTAAATTTAAAACTAACCTAAAACACAATATGAATAGAATTAGCTTTTTCCCGGTATAAATTAGTTTTATTTTTATACTCAAATTAATGTTTTTAAAACCCAACTAATTAATCACACTTGCTTATAAATCAAAATACATTTGTCGAAAAAACTATAAAATCTTCTTAATTTATTTTTATTTAATGTTATCTAAAGTAATTGCGTTTTGGTAAAAGATAATTTTTATTGATACATAAAATTAAAAATTCGGAGTAAAAATTGTATTAAATAACATCTTACGTTAGAATGATCATGAGTGTGTAGAATATGACTTCACGATGATGTGGTTCAATGGTTCTGGCGACGGGTAAGTGTCACATTGTATTCATGTTCGAATCTAATCTTCATCCTTACATATTTTCATTCAGACTAGTCCAGACTCGTCCACTATATAAGACTACAGTTGGTTGTATACTCGTCGCAGACGCCCTCCATTTTCATTCAAAAACCATTTTTGGACGGGCGACAGGGACACTCGTCACGACTACTCTTATTAGATTTTATGACTAGTTGTCAATCAGAGTACTAGGACGCGTATGCATGACGGATAAAAACTCGGACTAGTCGTGGACAAGTAGTTTTCGAGACAAAGACTAGAAGGGACTGGTCGACTTGACTAGAAAAAAGACTAGTCATTTAACCAGTCTTTTGCTCACTTGGGAAGACTGTGATAAGCAATTTTTGAAAGATCCACTTAAATATGGCATACAAAACGAACAGGTCGTAGAAAAAAGATCGATGAAAGCACCAAACGGCTTATTTTAAGAACTGCTAGTAACAAGTCAATATATTGTGCCAATATTATTGCCGATTTAAGTCTGGAAATGTCACGATGGACAATCAATCGAGTCATAAAAAGGTCGAATATCTTGAAAAAAATGAAAAAGAAGCGGTCTCCTGCTATAACAACAGCACACAAGGATTTACGATTAACCTGGGCCAAAGATCATATGACTTCGAATAACGAATGGCATAAAGTCGTTAGGGCGGACGAAAAAAAATTTATTTGGATGATCCTGATGACTTTTCTTACTACTGGCATGATCTACGTAAAGAAGAAGAAATATTTTCAACTCGTGCTCAAGATGGTGGTAGTGTTATGATTTGGGCATCGTTTGGCTAGGGTGGTAAGAGCTCAATATGCTTCATAAGTAAGCAAATGAACTCAAACGGATACCGAGAAGTACTAAAAAATCATCTAGTTGACATTGGCAATGCTATAGGGGGATCTTATTGGATTTTTCAACAAGATAATGCGCCGGTTCATCGGGCAAAAGTCAATCTTGCTTGGTTCAAGTCGCAAAAAATTAATGTTTTACCGTGGCCATCATTATCTCCCGACTTAAACCCCATCGAAAATCTGTAGGGAACATTACCGAGAAAGGTTTATGCTGAAGGAAAGCAATTTAGAACAAAAGAACAGTTAAAAGCTGCCATACTCCAATCGTGGAAAGAAATGAGCATTGATCAACTTCGAGATTTAGTTAAATCAATGCCTGATAGATTATTTGAAGTTATTAAGTTACATGGTGCGAAAACACGATATTGATCGGCATTTTGAATTCGATTTTTTCTATTTCATCTACAATGGTCTTATAATTATGCATCATAATAAACCACGAAATTTCAGAAATCAATGAAGGATAATTGATAAAATCTTGAATGTTTCCCTACTGTATACATATGCCTCAATACCCTTAATTTCAAAGAATTAGTTCGATCTGATTTTTCTAAGTACTAAAACTAATGGTCTTATAATTATGCACCAGACTGTAAATTAGAATAAAATATTTTTGATTTATCATATTGAAAAATAAAAAGTTTCTATTAAACTCTATTTTTCTGGTCTATTCTATTTTTATTTAAAAAATATAACCGAAAATGGAATCCGATCAATTTTTGTTTTTATTATTATTTGTAAAGTACGAATAATGTTTTATTCATATATATATATATTTGTATTTGCATATAGTTGATATGGCTCTATTGTTTTATTTGAATAACTCATAGCGAATAAATGAATAATTTATTCAAATGAAAAACCTGATAATAAACGAACAAAAGAAAACCAATTCTTGTTGACATTCTTTAAACAAAGGTAACAAGAAAAATAGTTTGAATCTTTTTTTTTCTTTTATAAATAAGAATATTTTTCAATTTCAAACTTTATCAATGATACCATTGATCTAATTTTTAATTATGGCTATCCATATGGCAACAGCAGATGGCGATTACTCTTGTGTCCTATGTTTTCAGTGTATCTCGATTTGTGACAATTTGATCTGATAGAGAAAATTAGTTATCGACTTCGTATGTATAGTTTCAAGATGTATCTCTGAATATTTGTGGAGAATGACGACCATAAAATCTTTTCATAATCAAAATAAATAGAATTATTTATTTCTTTTTCATTTTCTTAATAAAACATTCAATTAAATAAAGGATTTATTTCGTAGAAATTCGTTGTACTTATTATTAAAATTAAATATTTATTGGTTTATAATTATCGTGAAAGCTTTTCTTTAAAATTCTTCTATTGAATATTTAAAAAAAACTTAATAGAAAACAAATTATATTTTAGCATAAAAAAGACTCATAAAATGAATGAAAAAAGTATATTAAATAAATTCTTCAAGAATAATCAATCAATTTGGCTTAAAATGAAATCTCCATTTGGTGAAGAACAATATATACCACGAATAATTGATATAACAGCTGGTAATCTTGAACAAAATAAAAATAAATCGAGGTTTACTAAAATTTTATTTGTATTCAAAAATAATATTTAAAATAAATTTAGACGCATGAAACGTTGTTTATCTATATTACTTACATTGTTAACCATGATGATATTAGCATTAAGTATATTAGCTATTATTATTCCGATTTTACTTCTTCGCCGAAAATCATCTACGCCACCACTATCACCAATAATAGTAGCAAGTTAGTTTTACATTTTATTTTTCAACAAAATCTAATTGAAAATATTCTCAAGTAAATTTTTAGAGCATTTTTTGAAAAAAATTCACTCAAAAAAGCAAATCATCATAAAATTACGATGATAATGAAAAATCGAAGAAATATATTCATTTTTTTATAATATTTTTGATAAAATTATATTTGTTTAGATTCTTCAAATAATATAACAACAGTTGTAACAACAACAACAACAACAATAAGTAATATTTTATTTTATTATTTAATCAAAATATTCGAAAGAAGACCAACAATTATCGAAATTAACTGTTAGCTTTAATATGTATAGAATGAAAAGGATATAAAACGAATGAAAGAGATAGATATTAAGAGCGAAAGAGACAAGCAATGCCACTGATGTTATGTGGTAGAACGAAGAAAAATGAACTTCGTGGGACTCAAACCCACACCTTCCGCTATCCTGGCAGATGTCCTAACCAGTTAGACTAGAAGAACATCTTAATCTTCGTTTAGCGTTAGTAAGTTACATCACTAACGCTAACATTAACAATTTAGAAATCTTGTTTTTGTTTTGTATTTATTATGAACTAACTATAAATTTTATAGATTAATATTATTAGTCATCGAAAAAAAAATACATATGTCAAATTTTCATTTAATTTCCCTATGAAAGCATCCATAAATAGGTTTACGAGAAACAAGAAGAGTTTTCAAAAAAAAGCATCAATTATTTTTAATAGAATTTATTTTATTAAGTTAAATATTTTGACAAAATAATAGAAATCGATAATGAAATTTAACCGATAAATTAAAGAATTTTTATCAATAAATGTAATGAGTATTTTGCTTTGTTGATTTAATTGATGTTAACTTTTTTATATAGTTAATTGTATTTATCCAAATTTAATTAGTCCACTTGGTACATGTGTTAATATAATGATTGATTCAAAAAATTGTGGCCAACTAAATAATGTATGTCCTGGGAATTCGACTTGTTCAGCTGGCATATGTAATAATGTACCTGGAATTCAATTAGATAATGCAAATGCAATATTTTCATCAGCTACAAATGGTTCAGCCGATGATCAAATGTATAAAGTTACTTTGCCATGGAATATAACACTTTATAATACAACAACAAATGAAGTTACTGTTACTTCAGATGGGGTAAATAATCTTTTTATTTATTAAAACTATAAAAGAATTTCATCTAAACGGCAGACCATTAAGAACGATAGTGCTTTGTTTCGTTAGAACGAAGAAAACAAGGTGTAAAAATCTTCAACTTTCAAATACAGAAACTGGCTTTTCTAAAATTTGCTATCCACTTGGGAAACTACGAAAAATCTCATGTCATCCAGTGAAAAAGGGGTGTTTTTTCCAACAATTGTTTTCTTCTTTGAAAGCTAACATATTTGACTGCATTACTGTCAGAGACCGAAACGAATGAGAAAAAATGCCATTCGGTTCGATTCGACTCAAATTGTATTTACAAAACATGGTATTCACTATTACATAGTATTATTGTTTTCAGACAGTGATCTTGCTAGAATGAGAATAGTCTGTCGATCTTCTATAGAAATACGTTGAATAAATGTAAGTTATGAATATATGCATCAGAATTATTGATTTTTTTCAAGAAAGAACATACAAAATATAGATTAATGAACACATCTAAGTAGACTAATTAAATAAGTTTATTTTCTATAGAACGAAGAAAAAAAATGTCATTTACAGTATATGGATCTATATTTACACTTGATCATAGCCATACTTAATAAATAAAGAGATTGATATTAAAACCCCAATCACAATGGAAATGGAAATGGAAATTAAGTTAAAGTGCTTTTAAGCAATCTAACTGATACATGAATAGTCAAAAATTACCTCTAAAAGATTACGTCACTCTTAATGCCCCAATCACATGGCTTAATTCAACTACAATGTTCCTTTACTTCTCAGTGTGATTGGAGCCTAAATATACATGACTAAAGAAAAAAAGAAGGAAAGAAAGATGGAACGTTCCTTGTAAGTGGGTATTTCTTATACCAATCAAAATGCACTTAACCATGATAACGATATTAACAGAACAAGGATGACCATTAAATAAACACGACTGACAAAAGGAAAGAAAGAGAAACAGCGGACGTCCTTTTTCATTCGTCATATCTTATATTAGTCAACCGCCATCGACCATGACACTGTAGAACAAAGAAAATAATTTTGAATAGCAGATTGAAACTGAAAATAAATTGATTCGCTTCGATTCAACATCTTTTTTAGAAGTATCATACGATTCGCTTCGACTTTCTTTCCAATTTTTTATTCATTCGATTCAATTTCGATCTCTGATCACTGTACACTGGTTCGAGCCATGAAAATTTTGCTTCCAGTAGGTTTTCGTGAAAACTCAAATTAATACGTTTTGGGCGATTTTTCGGAAAATATCGACTTAATAGGCGAATGGCACACTCAGAGAAAATTTTTCTAAGATATTGAAAAGATCATATTTGAAAATATCAGAAAAAAGGTTGTTTCTTAATTGAAACCGGCGTAATAATTGTCGAAACATACTCCAAATTTTAACGCATTTTGTGCTTAAAAGTTAACGATTTTCGGACCTTGTTTTCTACGACTTAGAGCTTCCCAGTGAAAAATAACCATAGAAAAAAACGGAAATGGGCGCATTCTTCAACGTTTCATACTGTTATGGAATGTCTTCTGCCTAGTTCAAAAATCTTTCTTCATCAGAATAACAAGCCTTCTAACCCGTTCCATTCACTATCAGAATGGTTTTCTTTTCATTCTATTTGGGAAAGGTCAGAATTGAGTTCCATTTTGAGGAGATCGCGTTCTCTCACGTTCTGTAACGGAATGCCTAAGAATGGACTCTTGGAAGTAATGAATGCTTTCCAAATCATTAAACATCATTCTTGGAAAGAAAAGAAAACGTTCTCTGCCATCCTACATTTTCCAAATGTACATGCGTGTATATATATATATTCATTTGATAAATACAAATACTAAAATTTATACATGAAAACATATGTGTTTCGATATAAATACATTTATGTACGTTTGTATTTATATTATTGGTACAGGATTAATTTTAATTTGGAGAAATAAATAGAGTGGGCTAAGAATTTAAGAGACAAGTACATTTTTGCTCGGCCTTATACATGGATAATAGAATCGCTCATTTATGCCACATTTTTCTATGTGCTGATAGTAGATGGCTAGCATGTTGTTAGTTTCTGGGTCGAATAGTTAGTTTTAAAAGCACAAGGATGTGTCTTGTATAATTGATATGAAAAAAAGGAAGTTTATAATATCTGTTGAGAGTAATTTTGGAAAAATTCGTCCTATAAATATTTGTCTAATCGACCTAAGTTTCATTTGAATATTACATCTAAATTTTAAATAAATATATATCTATATATATATATATATATTCATATTTAAAAGGAATAAATATTAATCCACACAGAAGAGTTTTTCATATTATATGTAAGCATAAATTGTTTTAAGATATTTAGATAAATATCTTTTTATGTAACAATTGCTTATATTAATTTTAAAAACAATAGACTAAAATTAATTTTTTTATCTTTTTTCTGTTAAATATGAAGGGAATTGAACGTTTAGAATGAAAATTGACGTGTTTTTATTCTAATATTTTGTTCAATTCCAGTAGTATTTTCACTACAATAACTAGCAGACAAGATAGTTTAATAGCATAAAAGCATAGATAGGTCAGTACGAACCCAGCCCGAAGCAGCGACAAGTAAAAACCAGTTAGCGAAATAGAAAACCACATAAGTCAAAAAGAATAAAACGGTGTATACTAAATTCTAAACAGAAGAAAAAGAAGAATTCCAGAGAGCTGGAAACTCCTATAGAAAATGATTCCGTTAGATGTTGGAATTCGGTATCCAACATTTTCAGATGAGAATGGTATAGAACGAATTCCAAAAAGATGAAAAACTGTTTTTAAGAAAAAAACAGTTTTCTCTGAAATTGAGACGCATTCTACACCGTTTTTTCCTACGCTTATTTTTCACTCGGTTGGATGTATTTTTAGTTTACAAAAATTTTCTGCACATCGTTTTGTAGAGAACTTAATGACAAATCTATCATAACAAAGATAAAAATTTGACTGAAAGCGTCAATTGATTTGCTTTTAGCGAAAACAAAAGTAGCGTCATTCTTTATAGCTCATCCGTTATTTTAAAATTTCAAACATATTAATTAGATAAAAACGTATAATGGTCCATTCTTTTTTTTTATAAAAAAACAAAGGTTCTTTGTCTTGGCAATTGTTCAACAAGTTATACTGAAAGTCGTTTACCCGCACGTGTTTTTGACAGTGCAACAGCTTTTCCATTTTGGGATGATTTATATATATATGCGAATACATCTCAAGGAATTTATTATCAAGACGAAGGAGATATTCCACAGCGAACATTAATATTTGAATATTATATGAGTCATTATGTTGAAAAAGATCAATTTTATCATTTTCAAGTGACATTTTTTGAAAATTTTCCAGGAGTTGTTCAATATAAATATTTCGATGCAACTGATCATGGTGATACATGTACGATTGGTGTTCAAGGTGATTATTTTAAGTTTTCTTTTTAATTAAATCAATTTCATTTGTTTAGCTTCAAAAACTGGCCCGTTCATAATGTATTCTTATGATCAACCGAATTCTGTACAAACAAATATGACAATTTATTTTGATACAATTCATGAATCATTCAATGTATCAAATATCAATTAACTTTTTAATTATTTTCTCTTATTTTATTTTCCAAATAAATTTATTGATGATTTATTTTGTTCTGAAAATTATTTTTTCTAAATTATTATTTATCATATAAGTTAAAAAATACAAATTTTTAAATGATAAACCAACATTAGAATAACGAAAAAATTAGTTTATCCAATTAATAATATTTAATCAGAGATTTAGATATAGTTCATATGAATTTTTGAAGATCGATATAAAAGGTTTTACTTTGATATTATCATTCTAAAATACAAGGTAACATGACGTTAGCGTCGCCAACCTCCTACTGAAAGGATTTAATCATGTAGACCATAGCTATCCAAAACTATCTACCTGAGAGACCACATTATACAGTTTCGAAGTGATTTTCATGGAAAACACGATTGATAACCGAGCATAAATAGAAAACTTGCTTGGAAGTATCACCAAGGAAACAGCATTTAAGTAGTACTTATACCAATACTATATGGCAATAGCGAAGTTAAGTGCATCCGATCTGCTACAGCTCAACCATTGCTCCGAAAACTTTGATAACTAAGTGAAGAAAAAGACCCATTCAGAAGAGCTATGATCGAAATGCCCCATTTTAGTAAAGTTATAACTCAAATTGGTCTATGAACTAGATATTTAACATGAATCTGCACGAGTAGATCAAAGATTACATCAAAGTGTCCTTTTCTAACTCGATTGCGGTCAGATTTATCCTAATTTTTGCTCAACCTCATGTGGGTTCATCTTGCTTCGGTGCGTTTTCTGCCTCTAATGCATATATTCATTCCCTCGTGCACGTTCACAGGTAGATAAATCTAATATTTACATCTTTTGGATCAAATCCACTTGCAACCCGGAAAAACTAAACTTATTAAGATAATCACGATAAATATAGATTTCAAATATTTCACATGAGTTGAGCAATTATTTCACGACCTGTCTTTGGAACAACTTCAAGATATCTACTATTTTCGAAAATTCTTTCAGCTTTTCTGATCGAGACAACGTGTAATTATTCTATAAGTCTCCAAGGTCTGTAGTCTTATAATTAGAACATATTTTTAACTGAGCGACTAGTCGTTCGTCGGCGCCACACTAGTTTTGTCTCATATAGGCAGTGGACGTGATCCTTTTAAACACGGCATAATTGATAGAAAGCTTTGCCTCGTTCTATAATTATTAGATGAAAAAAAAAGAGAACTTTCAAAAAACGCGAAAACTACAGGTGTAGGGCTAATTTAATCCAGTTTCATCTACATATGCGATAAATTCCTCACCATTTAGAGAAGAACGAGACAAGATTCCCGAGTACTTATCCAGTTTGCGTCCGTTCGTAGATGTGCTAATCTACAATTCTAGGAGTTAAATTTGAATAAATTCTTCATGCTACAACAAAAGTTGACATATCAAGAATAAACTGAAGACTTTGAAAAAGCCGTCAACGTCTTAGTACAGGTGAGCGACTAGGGTGAATTACGTTTCGTCTCACTCTTTCGGAACATCTGACAACATGACCGGGTGTTCGGAAGTGAATTTCTATTTTTAAGACTTTTCGCAGGAGTTCGTAAATGAATTTTATTTTTAAGGATTGAGTACGGATGTTCGTAAATATTTGTGTACAGAAGATCGTAAAAGAATAATTAGGGTAACAAAACGAACAGATTGGATGTTCGGAATAAGATAATCCTTGTTTAGTCTGATATAGCGGAGGAAATCGTAACGAACAGCATTGAATGTCGTTTGAAGATATACGTTCAGGTTGATAGGTAGTTCGTAAAAGAGAGAACTAGAAGATCGTTACGAACACCAAACCCATATGTGGAATTTTCAGGGACAATAATGACCTACAGACTGGTATGACACTTCATATTCTCTCGGCGATGTGTATATCGTGACCTATTCACGAACATCCTGTCATTTTCATTCCGATCACCCCGCAGTTTCATTGCGACCTTCCTGTATTGATTATCACGGACTCCTAACGAAAGTTCGAAGTTTAATCAATGATAAATGATTAAAAGTGTTACTTCCGAACCTATTTCATCCCGAACATCCTGCTTATTTCAATGAAAATTGCGATTCCGAACTTCAGGTTCAGATGTTCGAGTTGTTTTTTCTGCTGTCGGGAGATCGTAACGGAGTGCTGCTACGGGAGTCCGTAAAAACGAGGTGAGACGAAACGTAATTTTCCCAGCGACTAGTCGTTGGCAAATTGAGTATCAATTCCATCGCAAGATGCCTATAGCCTATTCGTAATAAGATCTCACATAACCATAAGATACATCTAACACTAAACATCATCGAATGGTACCCTAAAAAAATTTCCCCTAAAAAAATTCCTATCACGAAAATGCGACGATCTAAACTGCTCCTAATCCATTATAAACTTGCTTAAACTACAAAATGTCAAAAAACTAACAACGTCATCATGTTCCCCGATCCCGATTACCTTCGGTCAAACTTATTCCTACAGATATTGTGTGAGGTTAGTTAAGTTTATGCGTTTGTTTTCTTATTGCACGGACGAATGCATTTAACTCGTTTTTCGTAATACCCTCTTTTCAGCAGCAGTAGACAAAAAATCGATCGGTGAGATAGATGTTCATTTCAAGCGGAAAATGCCGTTCAAGTCAAAAATGAATTCTTTCCCTGTTCTGTCTATAACAGAAGACAAACTATATAAGTACAACTCAGCGAGTATACCCTAGACAAACATCTTGTAAGCAAGGTCTTGATCAAGATACAAGGTACAGATATGTTAACAGATCTTGGAAATTCAGGTACAAGATAACTGTATTATCTTGTACCCAAGATCTAATTACAGATCTTACATAAGAATGCATTAAATCTTGGATGCACACTAAAATAATACCTGCTACATTCTTTAATATTTTTTCAATTTATTTTCACTTTAATTATTCCTCTTCCAAATTCCAGCAAGTCAGACGTTGGGATCTGACTGGCTTTAAATTGGTCCGATATCTGTCGGACCAATTAGGGAAGTCCTCTCTCGATCATCGACCGAGATCAGCATTCTCTCGAATAATCGAGAAATAGTTGAAAAAAAAATTTGAAAATTTATATTTCGTATGTTCAATCATGCTGTTTATATATAGCTGTGTATGCATTTAAAAAACGGTGAATGACTAGAGAGCATGTAAATACACTAATGATGGCGCTATCTGTTTCGCTCAAGATCTTATCGGAAGATAATAGTACACGATATTTTTTCCATGATCTTACCAAAATCTCAAGTACAGATTTATCTGATACAATCAAGATATGTACATACAAATTATCTTTTTAAGATCTTAATAAGATCTTACTTGCCGATCCCAAGATTCCAAGATCTTGCTTACAAGATGTTCGACTAGGGTATACTAAATTTACATCGAATAATTTTGTCGTCCCTGTTCACAAAAGATTTCCGTGCATATACAACATATTCTATGCTATACAGAACTCTTTACAAACATCAAACATGAGTAGTTTGCATTTTCATTTTCATTTTCATTCTTCACATTCCTTCTTTCCCAACGATTCATTGAAAACAAACTTTTTATACCAGCTCTTTGACATTCATCACGCATCACCACAAAACTATGAAAGCTTTCCCTTATATCGTAAGTGATTTTCAGCATCCCATCTTCATGCCAATTTACTGATCATTGTTTTAACCAAAGTCAACCATAATCTAACCGACTGTAAATTTTCCCAACATCTTTAGTATCGTGCAAAATCATTTTTCTCTTATCCCCAATACATGTATGTTCATTTCGATTACATATGAAACCATTTTTCTTCTGTAGGAAAAATGATATTTCATTTATCGAAAGCATTTTTCCCATTGAGTTTTTCATTTATCCGCTGCAAATTCATTTTTACAGTGATGTGACGTGCACCCAGGTCGAGAAATCACACACTGAATCCGACAGAATCTTTTAGGATTCCGGGTTGAGGAATTGACGTCGGAACCACTGGTCAGAACCCTTTGAACTTTCGATGATATCCAACGGTATTTCTTTGGAATTCATAGGAATCCGACACTGAGGATCCAACTTGGAATCCGGAATCCGATGATAGTTCTGTAGAGTCCGACAAAATTCGATAAGATCCTACTGGATGCGAGCTGGATCGGATGGGTTTCGATTGGTTCCCACTGTTGGATTGCTCGACCTGGGTGATCGAGGGAACGGTATATTTTCGTTACTGTTTATTTGTTTAGTATTTTTATCGCAAGTTTAGTTTTTAAGCATTTTTGACCTGAACGTCATTTTTCCACTTGAAACGAGCATTTATGTTACCGATCAAATATTTGTCTAATCCTCATATACGTATATTGATTCTATTAAATAATAAAAATGATGCGAATATTTCATTATCAAGAAATTTAAATTGCAGTATTATTTTATTCTTGATTTAACAAATATGTAAATGAATTCAAAGAAAAAAATCACGGAACTTTTTTCTTATTTCACTAAAACATGAATAAAGAAAATGAATCGCCTTTGTTTTATTTTCTTTTTCACTTGAGAATTAAAGTTGAAAAATGAGAAAAAGTTCGCTTTTTGCTTTGATAGTTACCAATGATTTTTGTTGAATCTCAATGAGACTGATTTCTTTTTCTTTTCTTTTTTCTTTCATTTAAATAAAGATTGATCATCTTCATATAGCCTTTTTTATTGTTTGGCCTTGCCTGAACGAAAAAGAAAAGAAAAGGTAATAGTATTGACTAAATAAATAAATAAAAAGAAAATTTTTCTAGGTTTAAATAAACAAAATCATTTTTGTTCGATTTCAATTTAACGAAAGATTCTTTTTAATGTTTATCGAAAATCGAATTCTATTTAATCTTTACTTTTCTTATCGAATTGAATTTATTCGTCTTAAATACTGTCAATGAGACATTTGAAAATCATTGATAAAAACATTTAGATGATGTTTTTTTTTTATTAGATTTAATCACTTGAAATGAATAGATTTTCATTTTCAGAAAAATTCTTTTTGATAAATGAACTAAATTTCTTTAGATAAACCTCTATAGAATAATTTATTATCAATAATTATTAGAAGGAAAATATCAATCAAAATCTATTAGAAAAATGTCAAATACATTGACTTTAAGGTAAAATAAATAGATTGTTTTTAATAAAAATTTATTTATTTTAGACGTGGATCATTTTTTGGTATTGGAAATCCATTATTGGACGTTAGTAAAGAAGTTGATGAAGAATTTTTAGAAAAGTTCGTTGTCTTTTTTTGATTTAAGCATAATGTTTTTTGTTTTGTTTTAAAAGATATAAATTAAAAGAAGGTGAAGCAATATTAGCTCGGGAAGAACATGCACCACTGTAAAAAAAATTTTCTTTTATTTATTTACTTTGTATATAAATTTATTTTAGTTTTCGAGTTTTAAATAAACAAGGTCGACTTGCTATCGGAGGTTCATCACAGAATATAATGAGAACAATTGTTGTAAGCTATTTAATTAATTTACTTTATTTCTTCTTTGCAACTTAAACTTTACCACTTTAAAAATAATAAAGAAAAGAAAGTTTTTAATCAATAGAATTAATTAAATATTTTAGTGGATTCTTGAACAAAAATTGTTTGCTTCCTATATGGGCTGTGTTGGAGATGATTTTGAAAAACAAAATTTAATGGAATTAGCTCAATCAGCAGGTTTACATGTTGTTTATCAAACACATCCAAAATTAACAACAGGACGATGTGCAGTTTTAATAAATACACGGGATCAGTAAAATCCACTATCTTTTTTTGTTTTTCTTTATACATTTCAATTTTATCTTTAAACAAAAAAAACATAACAGACATCGTACAATGGTTGCAAGTCAAGGAGCATCAGAAGGCTTTACTGCCGATTTTCTTGATGATCCAGAAAATTGGTTAAAAGTTGAACAAGCACAAATACTTTGTTCAGAAGTTTATATTTCACACTTTTTGATGAAAAATAAAGATAAAAATTTATTTTAGGGGTTTTTTCTTGTATCATGTCGTGAAGCGTTTATGCGTGTTTGTGAACATGCATTTAAAACAGGAAAAATTTTCACTATGACTTTATCAGCGAAATTTATTTGTGATAATCCAATTGGTGTTAGATTATTAAGTGCTTTACCTTATGCTGATATCGTTTTTGGATATGAAGATGTACGATTTTACTCTAGTTTTTATTTATCTATTTATTTTAATTTTAGGAAGCAAGAATTTTGGCTAAAACTCAACTTAATATTCAAGTGAATAGTTTCATTCATTTTTTTAACCTTTTTTAAAATTCTTCTTCTTCTCCTTATTTTTACTAGAGTAATAGTTTACATAATATAATTGAAGCAATTCGTGACACCCCAAAATGGAATAAAGATCGCCCAAGAATTGTTGTAGTTTCAAAAGTTCCAGAAAGAACAACAGTTGCAACAAGTTTTGTTCTTACTATTACTGTTATTGTTATTTTTCTATTTATTTTTATTTAAGGAGATGGAATAAAAGAATACCGATGGAAAAAGCCTTCAAAGATAGTTGATACACATGGCTGTGGAGACGCTTTAGCTGGAGGTTAAGAAGAAGAAAAAAAAGATTTGATTTGTTTATTAATAAAATTTAATTTTAAATTTTCAAGGTTTTCTTGCATATTTTGCTTTGGGAAAAACAATTGATCAGTGTATTAATGCTGCTTTATATTGTGCATATGAAAATCTTCAACAACTCGGTTGTCAATTTCCTGATAAACCAAATTATAATGAACAAATTTCATATGAAAAAAAATAATTATTCTATTTCTTTTTTATATTTTATATTTTATATTTTATTCTTTAGTTTTTGTTTGTATCTATGGAACAAAAATAAAATTATCTATAAAACATAACAAAAGAATATATTTCATTATCAAATTTTGTTTTATTTATTATTCATTATTTCTGGAACTATTGAGAAAAAGTAAACAGGATATGTTTTTCATCAATTATTTCAAATGAATGACGAATTAATAATTAATATAAAATTCTGTTGACTTTAAGTTTTTTATTATTTGAAATTGAATAATATTAATTGACTTTTTCATAGATCAATAAATTAATCGATATGATTTAAATATGTTATCGAAGAATTAATTCTATGAAATAATTAAATATCTAATTTATTATTAAATTAAATTTTTATTTTCAACTAAGATTGGATGATTAAACATAAAATAACATTAGAAAATTCGGTAGAAAATAAAAATCAATTGTGATTTCAAACCGAGAATATTTTATTGCAATTAGGTATTTCATCGTTTCTAATCATTAATCTCATAATATTATGAAAGAATAATCAATGAAATAATGATTTAAATATTATAGATATTTATTTTAGTCTTATCTAAGCCATACTCGATATCTATCATGTCAACGATTTCTATAATCAAAATTCCATGTAGATCAAAATATGAAACAATATTGAAATCGAATGTAATGGCCAACATAGATGATTTATCGAAAATTATTCCAAAAAATAATAATATAAAACTAAAATATTAACTATGCATAATCATAATATTATGGATGATCATTTAAGAGACAATAAATAGAATGAAATCAATTTTGACTTCTGATTTCATTCGATGAATTTTTTGATTGAAAAAATGAATATTAATCTAAATAAGTTCCAAAGGAAACGTCAACAACATTACGAAAATACTTTTCAAAGTCACTTTGAAGATAAAAGCAAAGAAAAACTAGTTAAATTTATTGCTGTTATGTATGAGAAGATTCATTTCTATCTAAATGAGAAAGAATATCCATATTCGAAGGAAGTTGATCTGATTTTTTCTTATTTTTGTCTCTTCGTATTAAAAACGGAATTGCAAATAATATACCTCCACTTAATACTATAAATCCACCGAACATAAAATAAGGCCAAAAAAATGGTCGATTATGTTTTTCAAATGCATCACGCATTGCTCCTAATTAATAGAGAGAACAAAATTTTCAATAAAAATCATTTTCTAGAAATATATTTACCAGCAGCAGGAGTACCGATAGCAGTTGCAATTCCTTGAAAAAGTAATATGATGCCCATTCCATTTGATAATTTATTTATACCAACAAGATCAACAGTAATAATTGATGTTAATCCAACATAACCACCAGAGAAGAAACCAAAAAAAGAAGCATAAATAATATGAGCAAGAATATGAGAACCACTGTATGGAGCAATAATTGTTGCAAAACCAGTTATAATCAATGTTGAATTGTATAATAATAGACGGTTAACCTTAAAATATTCGAAAATTTTCTTTTAAAAAACAAAAACCTCTTTGAACACGTTTCATTAATTATACCGATTTAAGATCTGCTAAATATCCAATAACAACATGTCCAAAACAATGAGAAAATCCAATAGTCATAATAACAAATTTTCTATGTGCTTCTTCAACATGTGAATCTTTTGCAAGATCATGTGCAAAATTGTATGGAACAAAAAAGCCAAGGCTCGATAAAAAATTCGATACCGTAAAGAGAGTAAATGCAGGATATTTAAGTAAATTTAAATTAATCTGCTCAATAAGTGAACTCATTATAGATTCAGCTAATGGTTCAGTGTGTTCTTCATTGACTACTATTGTTGCTGTTGTTGTTTTTGTTCTTGGTCGATTTTTTATATCATTTAAATGAATATCATCAACTAGTTTATTAGGTAGAGATATTCGACTAAGAGTACCTTGATATAATGGAATACTTTGAATTGTTAAAACAGAATGATGATAAGGTGACGATAGATGTGAGAGAGATTCCCAACCATGTTCAATTTTATTAACAGCATTACCATTGAGAATGTTGTGAGGAACATTTTGAAACGATATTGTTGTATGTCGTCTATCTTCGGGTAAATGTTTTTGTTCATTGATTACATTATTAGAACATGTTGCTAAGAAAGGTACACTAAATACATAACAAATAAACAACAACATCCAATCATCAAGTCAACAAACCAGTGAATAAGACTTCAATATAGGGTAATACTTTTATTTTTATTCTTTTCAAATCAATTTTACAGAAAACTTTTATTTAAAAAATCCAATTAAGTTTTCTTGTATATCTTTGGAAATGCTTTCATGCATAAAGATAAAAACAATTTGCATCAGTTTTTTTCTTCTATTTATTAATCTCTAAAAACTGAAGTCAAATACTGTTCATAATTGACAAGTCTTTTCTTTTTCTATTCGAAAATAATTATAAAATCTAGTCCTTTAACGATTAAAATTGCTTTCTTTTTATGCGTAAGTAAATATACACATTTCGAATGTTAAATATTTTTCAAGTAGCAAATAGAGATATCGTTTGACGAATAAAGATAAAAGAGCCTATTTTTATCGAGTTTTAATCGTAAAAAACTCTAGATAAATCAATAAAACAATTGTTCGAACATCGTGGATTTACATCAAATACAAAATCAACCATTAAGATATTCAAATAAAATGTAAAATTTTTTTTTCTAAGTTTTTTCATCGAATAATTACTTTTGATTTTTCTTTGCATTGAGCAAATATCTCTCTCTTTTGTTTTTATGACATAATAAGAAGAAGAATTATTATTATTGAATTTCAATTAATTTAAAGATTTTTGTTTCCCAATTTACTTTGACAAAAAAATGAATATCTAACAAAAATTTGAACGATATTAAAAATAGTATAAGTTTCTCTATAAAACTGAAGACTATTTCTATTAATCAAACATACTTCAATGAATATCAAAACTTTAAATTCTATTTGATTTAATCCAAAAACGAAAAATTTCAGTGGTAAATATAAATTTTCCTTTCAGACCTTTCATGTTCAGTTATTGATTGTTTTGTTTGCTGATTTTCATTTTCCATGTTTGCCATTGTTTTTTTCACTTGTTTTTTAGCTTCTTTTTGTAAGCTTATTCTTAAACGACGTTGTTCACTCGGTTCTATTGGTAGAGGAATCTAAAAGAAAACAAAACATCAATTATTATTTTTATCAATTGAAATTAATTGAATACCATAAGAAGACCAAAAAAGATACAGAGAAAAATGAGAACTGATTCGAATAGAAGAGCATCTTTATAATTATTTGAAAAGAATCTATTCATAATCCAAGGCAGCACAAATGGAAATACGACTGTACCCAAACCGGACCCACAAACAGCAATGCCCATTGCGAATGAACGTTTTTCTTCGAAATAATATCCAACAGAAACAATCGCCGGTAAATAAATAAGTCCACAGCCAATGCCTAAACATATAAAACAATGATTAAAATAAAATAAAATTGATCATACCTCCGATGATACCAATTGTTAGATAATAATAATAAATATTTGTCCACCATCGACTAAGAAAAAAGCCAAACGATGCGAGAAGAGCACCAACTATCGTAATTGTACGAGACCCAAATGTATTTGTAAAAACAGTTGAAATAGGTGCTAGAACAAAACAAAACAAACCAAAAGTACGATTGAGATATATATATATATAGAATATATTTAATTAAGATTGATTTATTCTCACCTGAAGCTAAAGTAATCGATTCTAAGAAGGAAAATATAGCTGAAACATAAGCACGACTGAATTGAAGATTGGTTAGCATTGGTTCCAAGTAGATATCGCCCATCGAATATGTGATTCTGTATTTGTGTGTTTGTTGACACATAAACAAGTAAGAAAATGTCAAAGTCAAATTATTTACCCGTCCATAATAAAATGAATCATGAAAGATGAAAACACAATAACCCATCCCCAACCACCATCAGGAGCATTTGTTGTTAATTTGGCCAAATTTGTATGACTGCTAGTTAACATATCGAACAAATTCTTGTTCTGTTGATTAAAATGATAGTATGTCTATATGACCTACGTTCAATTCCACAGAAAAAAAGAAAAAAAAGACACGAAATTCAGTTGGAACTCAGAACAATCAAATAAGTTCTTAAAAGCGCATTGCATCTATTAGAAGAAAAAATGAGCATATTATCATAGATTTTTTATTTGCTATTCTTGTTCTTCTCTTTATATAAGAGAGAGAAAAGAGAGATGAAGAATTGCGGCCGCATCGCACATGAATGAAAAAGAAAATAACAAAATAAAACACTGATAGTTTATGCAAGAGTATTCGATGACAGTATGCAAATTATTTCATTTTCATGTAATATCAAATTTTTAAATTTAAAATTTCGTTACTAAAAATATTTTCAAGTAAAATATAAGAATATTTATAGAATAAAAAGACTGAAAAATAAATAAATAAAAAGAATGAAACAGTAACAATGAAATATTTTTAGAAGCTACGCTCGTATTAAGTAATTAAGAACAATCTATTATCAATTATTACAAAAATTTATATTTAATATGATATTATTAAAATATCGATCATATTCGTTTACGTACAAAAAAAATATGGTTTCAAAAATTTTATTTGAATAACTATTTTAATTTTGTAGAAGTCTCAATTAACCCTTGGGAATATTTATAATTTAACTGATCAATTAATTATGAGCACGAAAACCTACTGTTTCTTCTTGAGTTTTGTAAATCAATTCTAAGCATAAAAAATCGATTTCACAAACGGTAACCGTTTAATGTCGATAAACGACGTAGCATATAAGGGTCTTTTGTTATGAGTCGATTCAATAAATGTAGCAGATATTTTAAAAACATAATCGAAGAACCGACTTGTGTTTCCAAACTTTTACATACATTTTTTTGTGAAAACTGCTCATTTCCAGCTGAAAATTCAGCTAATCGATCGCTTATTGATGAGTATTCTTTTCGATTGGAATATTTATCAGAAATTTGTTCTAACAAAACATGGGCTGTCAGAATGACTACTCATTTGTTCATTCACTTTCTTATAAACAATCAATTTCAAGTACGTCGTGTGAACCCTGTAATATCTCCTATATCTATCATATCTCTAGCAATGTAAGCTAGAAGAAGGCTACAAAAATTCAAATGAATTTCCTCGAAACTTAGATAAGTCATCATATGTCGCGATTTCGCTATGAGTTAAATTGTTTGTGTCACTATGGCAGTCCTGATTTCGCTACTAGGAAAAAAAGTTTTATTTCTAACAGATGAAAAGTTCTGTGAATATTTGTTAAATGATCAGTGATGATTTAAGAAATCAGTAGAATAAGCATATTTTCATGTGGTTATACCAAATTGATTAAAAATACAAACTTAATAATTTCTCTCATTTAAAATTTTCTTTCACTATATTCTTTTGTACTCACAAAATTTTCTCGAATTTCATGATTCTTACACAAATACAACTTTTAATGAGTGACCTTCAACTGATGTGTACTCAGGACTGCAAGATATTTCGTAGATCTGTGCTGTTTTCAACATCATAAATATATAGCGATCAGTTTGCAGATTTTTTTTCAGAATAAGCTAATAAATATGAAAATCTAAAGAAAAATTCTCGGTCAATATACGTGTCGTGATCAATTTAGCAAATGTATAAATCTCGTTTCGGATCCCAATCAAGTTAAAATTTGATTCCAACGAGACCGAGACTACTTTTCATTCCTTATATTTGACAGACAAAAAGACTAGAAAAGTAATATGAAAGTTTCCTATCTAACATGTTTTTTGTATTCTTTAGATTTTGTTTTTTTCTTAGATGAAAAGTTGAAATTAAATGAATCTATATTTTCTTTCTATATGAGAATGAAAATTTTCAATTTTTTTGAAAAAACTCATTCGTGTAAATGTAGATAAAATTATTTCGATAAGAAAAGATATTTTTTGAATAATTAAATTAGAACAATCGATATTCTTTCACTTTCATAATTAGATCGGATTATAAAATGATGAAGTTAAAATTAATGTTTCTTTTTATTTTATTTTAATATTTTAAAAAGACAAAGGAAAGAAGTTAGCAAAAAAATCATTAAGATAATAATTTTATTTAATAATTTGTTTTTAAAAAGATAATAAAATAGTCAATTATCTATTTCCGATACTTTATTTCAACTCGAAATAGAAAAATAATATTTAACTAAATAGAAATAATATCTGGTTAAATAGGTTAAACGAAGAATTTCAACATCAAATATTCTATTTTATTCATTAATATTAACTAATTTTTTAATTGCCAACATTAAATCATATTGAATTTCATCACTAACTACTGAATCATGTTTGTATAATTGATGATTCAATACAAATTGTCGAATCCACATTGCATTTGTTAATATTGTTCCTAAATTATAATAACAAATTATGTATTTATGAATTTAATTCAAATTAACCTTTAGCACGTTCTGAAATGAATTGAAGATAATTTTCAATAGTGACTCTTGTTAATCTATCAATATCTTCAAATGAATTTAAATAATTTAAAATCAATGATTTTAAACCAATAAAATTATTCTATAAGTAAATGGATTTTTCCAAAAACAAAATCATCCATTAAAAGGAAATTAACTTACAGAACCATTTATTATTTCATCGATTGTCATTTCACGAGTTTTAGATACTGACGATGATTGATTTCGATTGGAATTTAGACCTATTGAATAATCAAAGAAAAATAGAAAATATAGTGTTTAAATAATAGAATCAAAACAAAAATAAATCAAAAATGATTTACCATGAAAAATCGTCGTAGGAAAATGAAATTTGCTTTGTTGAATTGTATTTCTAATTTGAGCTCTTTCCATATTTTGATTGACAAGTGAAATTGACATTCGAAGATCAATTTTATATGATAGAATTGCTCGTGTTAACAGTGAAAGGAAAACAGTAAATGCTGCATTTTCAAAATCAGTTATTTGGAGCTACAATAAATATTATTTAGAAAAGAAAAAAAAGTGACTTATTATAATTAAAAACAAAAACCTCCATCGGACGAAATTCGATACGCCAACCCAATGATGTTACATCTTCTGATGTCGGAGGTTTCAATCGTAAAGAATTCCATACCATTGAATTTTGATTCTTAACAGATTTAATATTACTTTACAAATGAAAATTATTTTTATATTTTTAATAACTCAATTTTTTTTATGATTAAATCTAACTTGATTGAAGATTTTCGAATTCAATTCTAATTTTACATGATGAACAGTCAAATATTCATCAAAAAAGTTCCGTATGTTTTCAATTGAAAACATCATATTGATAACGTTTTGAAAAAAAAGAAAAGAAATTGGTTTCAATCTAGATTGCTGATTTTAATCTTAATGAAATTAATTCTTTTTTAATGAGCTTGATTAAAACTCTTCGAAATGTTCGCTTGAAAAATTGATTCTAATATAAATATAATCGAATACCTCAAAAGCATATGTTGTTGATGGATTACCATCAGCAGGATAAACTTGTTCATCTGTTACATAAAGTGGATCACGTAAGAAAAGATGAGCAAAATGACGAGCAACACCCTCAGGACAATCTATATAAATAAATAAATAAATAAATGAGTTTAATAAAAACAAAAACAAAACTAAATAGAATAGAATAACCATTATTAATTAATGTTTGATAAACTTCATGATCTATATTTATTTTAATATCATTATAGATTTGACTTGTTTGAGATAAATAACAAGAAACAGAAGAATATCGAGAAGAATGTAAAATATTATTGTCAATTTCTTCTTTTGTTCGATCATCGGTTGTTTGACTAAGAATATTCCAACGACTATCAACATTAGATAAATAACCACGCCAAATTGGGCATGCTGTTGTTAACGATAACTAAAAAACATCATTTTATTTTTTATATTACATTTCACAAGAAAATTAAATGCTTAAAACAAAAAGCAAATTCTATTTTGTATATTAAAAAAATGAATAACATACAAAAATTGATGTTAAAGGAATTAATTGATCATAAAGATGAAGACATTCAGAAAAACAAGCAGCTTGAAAAGTAACTTGTAAACAACAACAACCCCAACCAATTGATGATGAATCTAAATGTATATAATTATCACGAAGATTTAACAAATAGTTTTGCCAATTTTCAATTCCATATGAAGAAAAATCATCTTTAAATGGATCTTTTGTATTGACATCTTTCATAACTAAAAGTAATAGATTTTATAATTTCGATTTTCTTGTTTCTTTTCTTTACTTGGAACATTAACAGATACTTTTGATTGACGACGTTCAATAACATTTTTATTTAAAAACCTTCGGAATAAAATAAAATAAAACAAATAATTATACAGAAACAAACAAACAAACATTGTTCTTGAATGATTTGGTGTTTTAAAATGATCAGAGCAACAAATTGAACTTTCAAAACTATTTAATGGGTCACTTTTATATTCTGGATGAGTACAAGCGGCACAACCTAATCTAAATTTGTTAAAGTTTTTTCTTTATTAATTAAAAATTATCAATCAAAAACAAAAGAAGAACCTTGGAAATGCTGAAATTGTCATTAGAAATTCATTTTTATCAAGTATTTTTTGTATTTGTTCGCGTCTAAATGAAATTTTTTGAAAAAAAACGAAGAAAAAATGAATGGTAACCTTAATATCATATTTGATTGAACATAATAATAATTATTTGGATGTGAATGATAAGGTTTCGATGGTATACCTTCAATAACAAAATTACAATCTTCAGCATGAAATATTATTTGAGATAGTCTTTATATTAGAAATATATTGTAGTATTTATGTTAATTTAATAATAATAAACTTACTCAGATATTGTTTTATCGTTATTTAATTGTTGAAATCTCTTAAGAATTTCATCAGCTTTTAAACATAATTGAACACGCTTATTTTCATGATTAAAACGAATAAGAGAATATTCAATCTAATTATAAGATAAATTTTTTTTTGATTAAAATAAATAATAAAAATAAAATTTAACCTCATCACCCCAAAGAAACTCATCATTATGTCTTTTCTTGTGTTTATTTAATATTAATATTAAATCATTAAGAGCATGATTCTTTAATATTGTTTTAACTGATTGTATTTCAGACCAATTTAGTGGACGACCATTCGATAATATACCCATCGTTTAATTTTACTTTATTTATATATTTTGATTTCTAATCAAGGATTTTTTTCTATAATGAATAAATAAATATCAAAGTTTAATTGTGAAAAAATTAATAAATAAGAAACAAATTGTTGATTAATTATCTTTTACTTATTTCAATTTTCTTACTGAAATAATCATTTTTATTTGAATAAAAATAAAACATATTAATGTATATTCTATCTGAATCGATACTCAATGATGAATATAATAAATAAAGATATTTATATATCAGAGAAAAGATCAACATGAGATATCCAGGAAGAAAACAAATAACATCTGCCCTCAGAACATTTATATCTATGTAGAGGAAAATCGTTGTCAATAAATAATCATTATGGATAACCATAATAGATTCACATGGGAAAAAAACAAGATAATATATATATATAGCCGTTGTATTTATAACGGAAAAAGTATTTTATCGTTATGATTTAATAAAAAAATAATTATCTTTTCGTTTTAATAAAAAAATATTCGATATCATCAATCCAAAAATAATGTAAAAAGTTATTATTATTATTGAGAAAAAATATTTTAAGAATAATCAAATTAAAATATCGCTCTGATTACTAAATCATTTTTATATTTTAGTTCAAGCTGACATCCATTTTGATTGATCTCAGACTGTCATTGTGGTATAAATTTAAGTTCAAATCAAGAAAAAAATTAATCTGTAAATTTCCATCAGTCTTCAGATATTTTATTATTTGAAAATGAATTCAAGAGTAGTCTAAAAGCATCTGCGATTCGGTGCTAAGATATTTAGATTTTCATAAACATATTTATTAATATTGTGAAGCTGAAGAACTAACTTCAACTAAGAATTAATATATATATATATATATATATATACATGTATAGTGATCGGTATATATGAAAATTAAAATGAACAAAGCGTAAAATAAAATATAGTTTCTCTTGAAAAGTTTATCTCATTGATAGAATTATTGTTGAAAACGATAATAAATAATTTTTGATCTGAACGCTCGTTTCATGTGCATTTTTAAGAAATGATAAAAGAATATTTTTTGTCATAATTCGAATTGAATAATATTGATTTATTTTGAAAGAATTTTACAATAGAAAACCTAATAAAATATATTTCAGAAAAACGCTAGTTAGATTAAATTTATCTGATGTGATTTTTATTGATTTCTAGTTTATTAATCTTATTATACGTATTTATTTGTATTCTTAATATTTATAACAATAATCTCGCATAATAAAATTTCGATATTTTGCAATAAAAACAAATTGTTTGCATAAATTTATATCTTTATTTTTATGTAATAAACATTTAATTGGACATGGTCCTGGTGGATCTTGATAATAACAACAAGGACGACGACAACCCACAAATTGACTATTAGATAATTTTTTGATATTGGAAAAGGTATTGCCAATGGATATAAATCACAAGGAAAACTATCATGTTGTACTGAATGATTTTGAGCAAATGGCCAAACATAATCTTTAAGAAAATCTTGATCGCCTCGCCTGTCATAGAATTGTAAGAACTAAGAATTGTTTTTGAAAATAAATTTTCAACAATTTCATTTGTCATTGTTTTATTTTATAAAAGCCCAAAGGCCACCTAAGATAACATTATAATGTAGAGAATGGTCACGTATAATACGATAGGTTTATCTGATAATAACCATTGATTTACTGATAGAACTTCACGTTTAAATATCGGTGAATCAATATCTCGAGACATATATCTCAACAAAACGATCAGCTAATGGAATAAAACGATGAAATCTTCCAGGCATATAATATATTATATTTGATAATATATGAATATTATATACAGAACAAAAGTCAATATTTTTATAATAATTTTCTATTTTATATATTTCATCATTCGTTATATTAAGATTATGACAATAAATACGAACGCGCCAATCCGGATAAAAATATTTTGCTTCTGATATAAATTCGAGTGTATAATACCAAACATTATTAGTAAGATTAATATTATCTTTATTTGATTTATAAGATGATACAACAATTACTTTTTGATTATATCCATGTTTAATAGATCTTTTACTACATAATGGATAAGAATAATTATTTGAATATTCAGTATTATCAAATTAATTTTTTCTATTTAAAGATAATTCTTTCGATCCATCGAAATGTATTTCAAATGAATAAAATTGAATTTTAATAATAATAAAAATCTTCCTAATCGTTTTAGTTTTCTCATTGTCGCTCATTGATTGATTGATAATTTAATAAAAATCATTTTGTTTATCTAAAACGAACACACATATGATTCAATTCATCTCTTTTCTTCGATAAATAATAAAATAAATGTCTATTTGAAATCTAAACAATCAATAAACGATGAAAAATCTAATTTATTTTATTTTAATAACTGAATTAAAATAAAATCTGTTTCATAGAAAGAAAATCCCTTGACACTATATAAAGTCTCAACGAATAACTAAGTCACATGAAAAAAAAGAAAATATTAACAATATACTATTCTAACGCATTTGTTAAAAGTAAATTACTTCTATCGGGAAAAGAAAGCTCATAAAAAAGATTATATTGTGCAACATTTTGAATGATATTCGATAGAAAGAAAGAAAAAGCGTTTCCAAAAAAAAATCATAGGAAAGAATTTTTTACCAAATGAAATTTTCCGTAAAAATAAAACTTGAAAAAGAGAAGAAAAGAAAAGAAATCGACTAAACATAATAAATAGAATAACTTTTTCAAACGTTACTCTCGAGAGCAATCGGTTTTTCAGATCGTTTTTATTTTCATGAATAAGATATTAAATATGAATTAAAATTAAAAAGAAAATATTTTAATAAATAATAATCGATCTAATGATAAGTAAATAAATCTATAGAACTATCTAAAAAACATTCTGCTAATGCATGCTTTTTTCGTATATTCTATAATAAAATGAACGGAGAAATACCAGCCTAACCATTCAAGTTCTCAATTAACACAATTATGAGTTCATTAATGTCTATAGTAAGGGGGGGACGTGGAGAGTCACAAAAATCTCATATTTTAATTAATACAATTGAATTAAAAAGCAATCGATATTTTCATTCTTTCTATTGAAACACAAAGCAAGCTTCAAACAGTTTTGCTAAAGTTTAACTGAAGATTTTCGGGGTCGAAGAATTAAAATCGATAGTTAGTTTAATAAAATCATTTACTCGAATGTTTCTATGAAAGAGATTGATGTTCTTTCTTGGTCAAATTATTTTCTTACGGCAAGACTATTTCTTTTCTTTTTCTTTTGATCAGTATCATGTTCTTTTCTCATTTCAGATGTTCGTTATTTGTAAATAAAAAAGAGCATCATAAACTTATCGTAAAAATAAAACAAACTGAAGCATAAGAAAAAATTATCTTGAAAACATTTTCAGATTACAAAATGATATTTAAATAAATAGAATCCTATACAAATCAGTCTTTCTATATACATATATGGAAACTAATTTACATTTAAGTATTGGTTTAGATTCATATTCATTTTATAGTTTGAGTGATAGTACTACTAAAAAATAGAATAGTCAGATGATAGATCTGGTAGGTGAATATTTTTTCTCTATTTGATTCTTTAATCCGTCAATTGTTTTCTCTACAACATTCAATTTTGATCAGGTAGAGAATATTCAAAGTTACTCTAGTCGTAAAACATCGATACATATATAATAATGAAACATATCTATACTGGTGATAAATACCAGTCAGCGTTCTGTATTTTTTTTCTTATTGAATTTCTTCAGTACTATTCTTTTGTACATATATTTTAAATAAAGGCAATCAATGTTAAATGTATGCTGAATCAATCAGAGATGTGGCGAAAAGAAAAAAAGTCGAGAATGTAAGGAAAAAATTGATTTTTTTCGTTCGTTGAAAACTTGACCTTTGTTGTTATTTGTGGGCTGGGAAGAAACGTCCACTCTCCTAAATTCTCCCTCCCTCTCCTCCATCCGTCTTGTTCACGTAGTTGCTGGATGTTACTAAAGTTTTCTGAAGACTGACGTAATAGTAGCATGTGAAATTTTCTCTATTAGTTATTTTTCAAAGAGATTTCTAGAAAATTTATCTTTACTTGTCAAAATTGGGAGTAGGAATGAAGGGTTCACCCGTCACACCCACATCCTCAAGATTCTATTTATTTTTTCATTATTATTTTAAAAATATGAACGATTACAAACAAATCCGATCTTAATAAATAAAAATATGATTTTCACAATTAGCACTCGAAATAAAATACTGTTACTTATATTTTTCTTTTTAAAAAAATCTACTTAGTGAACGGTATCCATGTATTCACTTAGATATAAATACATTCGGCAAAGCGAGCCAAGCTATTTTGTTTGTTAGACATATTTGTTTTTCTTGACAACATGTCGGATGAATTAAGCATGAGATGACTAGCTCAAATTCGAATAGAAATTGACAACCAACTGCATGGTATCAATTCGAAAATAAGTGATAGAAATAGATTTATTTTTATATTTAGTTTAAGATGGAGTGGATGTGGGTTGTCATATGTCGCATACGTATATCGGAAAGTTAAACTAAAACTAAATCTATTCCTAGATTTATTGTTAATTTAACTTTTTCTTTTCTCCGTTTATATTCGAACTCGAATTAGACAGCTACTCACTAACATTCGAATGATCTAGAATGAATGATTTTATATAAATTATTTATGTAAAGATTTCATTGAGATTATTGTCAAATTTGTTAAAAATAACAACTTATATTTCGTGTTTTCAAAATGATTCCTTTCATTTTTTTGGTTTTATTGAGAATAAAATAGTATAGCAATTGGTTTAGAGATATTTAAGTGATAGATTAATCTCTTGAAGAAATGACTTTTCATTCTAACTGATAGACAAATCGATGAAATAATAAATTGAAAATGAAAATTATATGATCTTGATGGAAAATTTAGAATCTCTTTTAGAGATTCGTTAAGAATTATAACAAAAAGATATAATCAGTGTTTTCATGATATAATGAAAGATCGTAATCAATCAAGAAGACTGAGCTCAATACAAAAATAGAAAACTCAATTAAGATTGTAGAGCTATTAACTGTATTCTCAATAGATAGATTTCGTCCTCTTTATCAAGAAATCAACGTAATAAAAAAAAGACAACAAATAATGTGTTATACTTTTTTTTCTTCTAAATTTGACAACATTTCATGTTGACAATTAAATTATTGTAACAATAATATTTTTTGACAATAATTACGAAACAAAATTCATTACTAATTTCTGTTTTCAAATAAGAATGCTTAAATTAAACTAGATTGAGTTCTGTCGATAGAGACTATCTATTAGAATGTTTTATGGATTATTAAATAAACGAAAATAATTTCTATTTTCATCAATCATTAAAATAGTTGATTATTTATTGTATCTATTAATTAAGAAATTTGTGAAGTGTATAAATTAATTTCTTATTTAGTATTGAAAAGAGCGGTAAAATTTTGTTCATTTTTTTTGCTTTTCAATGTTAATATTATCGATATTATGTTTAATATTATTTATTTTAAATATGAATTGTTTTTTAAATTCAATCAGAAATGAAAACCCTTTATTAGATGATATAGGAAATAAAATAATGAATTATGTTAATGAAAATGAAATTCCATTAGTATTAACAGATAAAATAATTGGTAATCAAGCTGGTTCAATGAGTTCAACATATAATGGTTATTTAAAAATAAATAATCAAACAAAAATATCAGTTATTATTAAATATTCTTCATTTAAAACAATTTGGAATTATGTTCATGCCACGGATATTAATCGTTTATATGAAAATGGATGTTATTCAAATGTAAATGAAAATACAAATCAATATCTTATTGTTAAACAAGATAAAAATCGAATTATCAGTGAAAATTGGATACCAAGTGAAGTTTATGTTGCTTTTAAAGGATATTTTTGTCAAAATTTAATGGCAACGTCAGCAATTGCTTATCCAAAATATTCTTATTTGTCTTTTTTTAAATCAATTGAACAAATTGATGATGAGAGAACATTTGTTATTGTATTTAAAAAATTAGAAAATGGAATTTCACTAAAAACTTATCTTGAACAATATTCAAATAAATTAACAAATGAAATAGTTAAATATTTAATATATTCAATTTTAGTTGGAATAATTAAACTGAAAAATATGTCGATCATTCATCTTGATCTTAATTCAGGAAATATTTTCCTAATGAATAATGATAATCAACATCCAATTAGATTTATTGATTTTGGAATAATGAAATTTATTCATAAATCTTCACAATTAAATGTTATGTATTCAGAAAATTTACATCAATCGTTTCGAAATGTTTTTCGTAATTGTCCTTCTTGTTTTCATAATAATTATTTAATGAATAATCTTATTTTTCCTCAGCAATTTCATCAATCATTTAAAAATTATTCGATTGAACAACTTTTAAATCATTCTTGGTTTTATAACAATTAAATCAAATGTTATTCACTTTTTCCTTTGTAATATTACTTTTACTATAATTCGAAAAAATTGAGAAATGTAATTTCTAAATCGAAGCAAATCATGTATTTTCTCGTTGTTAATTATATTTTTCAATGTTAAAAATCAATAATTTCATCTGAAAACAAGTGTAACACATAGATAGAAAGTTGAAATTAAGAAAAATAATCTTGAAGAAAATCAATTAATAACTGTAAATATTTGTTCAATTTAACAATTATGTTTGATACGGATAAATAAAATTCGAAATATAGATGCGAACAAAATTTTACAACATTTCCTAAATATTTTTTTATTTTTCTTCAATTTAGTTATTCAAATGTACACTTTATCTGTTCAATATCAGTACATATAAATATTTCTTACAGTTCTAGTTACGTTTAACTTTCTTAAAGCAGACGGAATTTGAACACTTAGTAATAATTTTATTGTATCTCGAACATTTTTATTATCTTTTGTTCAATGTTGAGATAGATATACTTTCTTTGTTACATTGAAAAAAATTGATTTTCAATAGTTAATAAAATATTTCGAGCCAGAATAAAGGAGATAATATTCTATATCTAAAAACAAAAATATATTATTTTGTAAAAAAGAAATAACAATCAATTTATTTCAATTACACAGCCAAACAAGAGGTTACTGACTTATTAAAAAAAACAATTTCAAGTTTGAATTAATTTTAATATGGATAAGATTTTGAATTATCTGCTTCGATGCCATTTTTACATTGTTGTTCATGTTGTTCATCAAGATATTTCAAAAGAACATCTTCATAAGCTACTTTTCCTTTGTATCTAGCAACGTCATCTGGCCAACTACGTATAGCAGACGCTAATCGTCCTGGAACACCTGTTTCTTTAACAATTTCAACAATCGGAATAAAATAAGGACGAATAGTAAAAAGAATAGCTCCAGATCTTGGCAATCGCCGAAGTGTTTGTCGTTCACTGCGAAAATGTATTTTTTCGATGGGTGGATTTGGTTTTGCATTTTGCCATCCAATACCAAAAGTATCTTCAGATCCAATTGAATTTGACCAAGCTAATTCTCCGTCTGTTTGAATAAAATAATTATGGCGAATAACAGGATGTTCAGGAGACATTCTTTGAAAATATCTTTCCATACTATGTTGTAATTTTTCTTGAAATTTTGGTACATCACCTGAAATATGAATTTGTGCAAGGGGCATATTCAATTTATCTCGAAGACGCCAAAAACCAGGAATAGTAATAGAACCAGCTTTAAGATAATATTGTCCATCAGATCCTTCAATCATGATTGCTAAATCATCTTGAATTAAAAGTGATGCATATTTAAGAGGATCATCAGATTTAATAGAATAAATTTCTCCTGTTGCTTTAATTCGAATTTGTTTTTCATTATCATTAAATTCATATTGAAAGAGTGATGGATAACGATGAACCAAATATTGACTAAGTAGTTCCATTGTTTCAAGTGCACCGTCGTATGCTTCAGGTGCTGTTTTACATAAATCAGAAGCTCTATCTGTAGAAAGACGAGAAAGCTTTTCTTTATGATATACCTTCCATTCATTATCTAATTCAATCCAATCATTCCAATCCAAACGTCGAATTCCCATTGTAATAAAATAATCAGGCCCATATTTAAATGGACGATATAGTAATGGACAAGTCTTTTCAATTGACCAATTAGGATAAGGTATTGGGAGAGGTGCTTGAAATGAAATTGGAATCCATTTACCGAATGACCTTATTGGTCTTGACTTTTTAGTGTGAGATTTTCTACGGAAAGATTTAATTATGTAGAATATAGAAACAATGATTAACAAAATTGTTAACAAATATTCTAACATTGAAAGTTTATTCTAAAATAAGTGATAAAAAAATTAAAATATTCATAATTACATATTTACTTCTCTTTAAATTTATTATTTTTCGTCAAATACCACTTTAATAATAAGAACAATTATTTAAAAAAAACGTATTCGTGCATCTTTTTAATAATCATAATTGCATTATCATTGAAATAAGATCATAGAATAACAATTTTAAATAGAAACTACTAATTCATTTATTTTAGCTATTGATATTGACGTTTATAGTTAATAACTTGTTAAGCGAAAATTAAAGTAAAATAATTTCGTATGACACAACATGATACAATGAAAACTTCAGATAAGATAAGAATATCTACAGTTACATTTAATGGACTTGGTTGTTTATCGCAAATGCATCTATCAGACAAATGTTCTTCTTTTCGTCGATATTTATTTGAACTTTATGAAAGAATTAAATTTATATTTCTCAATTATTGATAAAGTTTAAAAAAACTGGTCATGGAAGTTATGTTTCAGACTGCACGAAAATAATTGTAAGAAAAAAGCTTCTTTGAATGTTTAGTTCAATTTTTTGTATAACTAAATCAAATTTGAATTCCCTGAAACAAATATTAGATGGATAAAATCAATTTATTTTAAATTTTAATTTTGATGATGTTTAAGAACACTATTTCAGATTTAAACTTGATAAAAAAAATGATGTTGCAATCATTTAGTGTCATCAGGAACTTACATAAATTTAGAATATGTGTGTTTGTTTTAACTTTAGTTTTTTTTCTTTTCATAAATTCGCCTCCTAATTTTCTATAATAGATTTGAAACCAACACCACTTTAAGATAAATAATTTTGTAAAACATCTTTTTCTTTGTCGAGTAGTTTTCATACAACATTTCAGTTCTTAACTGAATTGTTCAATAGAGTTTGATTTCGACGAAAGAGACACAAAGTTATCTTGATAGCACTGTTTTGTTAATTGTGAGTTTTGTTATGCCATCGTGCAGAATTGTTCAATATTTTCAGGAACCATCATTATCATATATTTGAAACTGTGTAAGTGAATTGGCAAGAAGATTCATTATAATATTAACAAATCAGAAGAGATAAATGACGAAAGCAATGTGTTCAAAAAGAATTTCTTTTTCTAATTTTAATTTTATCTATTGAAAAAGCTTTGTGAATTTGTAGATTTTCACTGATTTAAAAATGTTTTTAAAGTGAATAAACAGGATGGATTAAGTGTTTCTTGACTTGTTATAACTATCATCCTCATGAATTCTCTTTTAGGAAACACTTATTAGAAATTCTGATTCATCGAATCATAATGCCAGGTAGAACAGTTTTAAAAATTGATGATATATTGAAAATATCTCTCTTGGTTCAATATTTCGATTGTCTCGACATGCTAAGAATGCTGTTCAATCAAGGCACAGAATTCACTGTAGTTTAACCAGATGCTGCAGAAGTGCGACGGGATCAGTGATGTGAACCCCTTCGAATAACTAAAGTTTTCATTAAAATTTGTTTTTCGATTATAAGATATTTATGGAAAAATGAAATTTATTTTACTAAAAACGCTTAATCTTTATTGCAAAAAAAATAAACAATTAATTTAATTTTTAAATGAATATTTTACATAGTTTTCTTTTAATAAGTCGTTGGCTAATTTATTATTTATTAAATAAATCAAATGAAAAATGACTAATTGACTGCTTAAAATAAAAGAAAGAATGTTTATGAGAAGAATTGAATATAAATTTTAAATTTTTGAAAGATCATATAAAACTTCTAAAAATGTTGCACATGAACAAGATTGAATATAACATGAATAAGAACATGATTGACCATCATCATTGGTTAATTCAGGTAAACCTTTCCAATCATTTAAATTTAATAAATCGATATGTAATGATATTATTTTTCGAATGTGTTTTATTGTTTCTTTTAAAGTTATTGAATCACTTTGTTGTTTTGACCAATAAAGTTTAGCTCGTAAATAATAACCCGTTAGCCATAACCATTCAGGACCATTATGATAATTAAAACCATGTGCTCGTTTATAATCATGAGAATCATCATCATTTACATAATCACCAACATAATTATAATCACTTGTTAAAAGATATTTATTCATTAATAAAATTATTTATTTATTTTATTTACCTTGGGTCAAGAGTTTTTATGCCATATTTACCAAGAAGAATTGTTTCAACTTGTTTTAATGCTAACCATATATTAGTTTTATTGAACATTTCTGGAGCCTTTGTTTTTAAAACAAAGATTTATTTTTTTTTTAAAGAAAAGAGAAAAAAGTTCAACTTACAATAACAGCAGCAATAAGAAAATTTGGTCTTAATTGATAATCAGTCCATTGAAGTGTTGAATTAATTGTATCTTTATATATTTGTTTTCGATTAACAAATTGCGATGAATTCGATTCATCAATCCAAAATTCTTTTTCAAAATTTTCATCAATTCGATTTAACCAATCCGTTAAAAGTAATTTTGTTTTTCCAGAAGTTCCTNTATTCGAAGCTTTTTCACTTGAACCCATTTTATCCATCCAAGTTCCACAATTCCAACGATTTCCACCAAAAACAAAACCAGTTTTACTATCAACACCAATTTGATTATTAAAACCTTCATCGTTCATATTTGAGTCAAGAGAATGTCCAGCACCACGCTCACGAAATGATAATAATTGTAAATGACATCGAAGAACTTCATGAATAACATCATATAAGAATTGATCATGTGAACCAACTGGCTGTATTGGACTATCATGTGTTGGATATAAACGTGAAACTTTATCTGAAAGTATTTTATAACCATCCGGTACAATATTTGTATAATTTGATACTGAATATAACCACCACCAAACAGAATCCCGTGAATTATAGCGAGATATTTTACCATCAGCTAATAAATTAGGTATTAAACCATGACGAAGACATCCACCATAAGATAATATTAAATAACGAGCTTCTTCATATCGACCAGTTAATAAAAGAAGACCACGTAATGATGTAAATGTATTTCTACTCGAGTTTCTCCATATATCAGAAGCAAAATATGGAAAACCAGTAGCTAACGATGGAATTTGTTGAATAATTTCAAATGTTTGTTCATTTTTTTCTTCGAATGGACGAGGTTCACATAAATTCGGTGATAATAATGGTAAACGTGAATTAGGAACAATACTTATTAATTGAATACTTGTTTGAGCTAATGAACGAATAAATATTGATGATTGGCGTATAAATGAACTCATTAACGATGATCCATGTTCTAATAATAATTCATAGGAATTTCGAATAATTAAATCAAAATAAATTGGAATCATTAGACGTGATAATGAATTTATATATCGAAAAACATTATCATACCATTCTCCTAACTTGAAAAGAAAAAAAACAAAGAATTGATTTTTTTGATTTTTATAAAAAAAAGAAAAAAAAATCAAACTTGTTTTGTATTTGAATAGATTTTAAGTCTATTTGATATATAATTCATTAACCAATTTCCTTGTTTTAAATTCAGAACTAAAGGATGTTTAAGTTGATTAAATAAACGGATTTGATCAAGAATAGTTATAATTGCTTGAAGACCACAATAATTAAGTTTTCCATAATCAGGTATAATATAAACATCAAAACTTTTTCCATCCGATTGTTCTTCAGCTGATGTTCGATAAAGAACACGTTCAAGATCAATTAATGTTAAATTTTTAACAATTTTATTAAACTGACTTGTGGAATTTGAAAATTGTTTTATCATTTGTTTAATATTAATAATTGATTGACGAATTTGTGGAAGAACTGAAATCTGTAAAGCAATTATTGATCCCGGACGAAATTCATTTGTAAATTCAATGGTTCGAAAACCAATATAATCAGGAGAATTCGGAGATTTTAAACGAATGCAACGACTTTGTTCAATTAGAACATTTTCACGAAAATAAATTTTTGTTTGTTCAAGTCCATTAATGTATTCTTTTGATCTTTGAAAATTTCTTACCGGTTCTCTTTCTTGTGGATGATTAATTGATGCTTCAAGTATAATATCATCAATAACACCTTCAATTGATAATGAATTAATATATTCCCATTTTCCACTTGGCTGAAAAAAAGACGTATGAGATATTAATAAAACGGATTTATGTGTTTCAGGATTATGACGATTTATTAATAATGCTGATGTACTTAATTGATCAACCATTAACTAAAATTAGTTCGATTTTATTATTCTAATTTGAATAAAATAATAAAAGCAAAATTTATAAAAACAAACCTGAGTAAAACCTTGTTGAAAAAGATCCATATGTAATTTATTTAAAGATTTTTTTATTGAAATAATTGCGGTTTTTTCATTAATTTGTTTATTCTGATAACCCCATTTTGAATAAAATCTTGTTTCATGAACAACATCAATATGATGTGGAATTAATTCATCATAACCTCGATTTGAACCAGTGGAACAATTTGCCATAGCAACACAAGCTGAACGTGTTATCGAATCTTCCACTGATCTTCTTTCAATTTGACATGGATTATCATGTGTTTGATCATAAAACCATGCATACGGTTTTGTTTGCAATAATTTACATATTCGAGATTTATTAAATGAACCAATTGGATCACTTTCACTAACTAATGATATCATTTGTCCTAATTCGTATGGATCAAATGCTCGATGGGATTCTAAGCAAACGAAAACAAAACAAAAGGAAGCAATTTATCTTTTTTTTAATTTACAAAAAAAAATAAAACAAACCTTTAAGTATAGAATTAATCCCAATTCGATTAATAAAACGAACATCACTTTTTATATTTCCTGTGGAAAGTTCAGCATTGATATAAAAATTCGGATTTATTTCTCTAGCATAATCCATCATTTCTTGTGCAAACCATAATGGTGTTGAATGGCAATTATCAAGACGACAACCATGAAATGTCGTTGCTATTAATCGTGTATATTCTTTCATATAATTATATAATGATGGACAATCTTCATATTTTGTACCAAAACGAAGTTTTATTAAATCAGACCATTGAAGAATATCACGTCTTAAATAGCTTTCTTGGCCTTTAATAAAATATTTATTTTAAGATTTAAGATAAAAATATTCTTTAACAATATAATTCATTAATGAAACAATTCGAGTAAAGAAAAAAAAATAAGCTGCTCTTTCTTTTAAAAGATTAATTTGATTCTAATTCTAGTTTTTGTAAATTTCAACTAAAAAATTGAAATATTTTATTTTCATAAGAAACTCTTTCTTGTTTAAATATGAAATAAGAAAAATAAAAAACAAAACAAAAACCTTCATCAGCAAAATTTCTAAGTGGATCATCATTAATAATCCAACCATTATGAGCCATAACAAAGGATTGATAATGAAGATCATTTTCAATTAAATGATTTATTTCATCTGGATGTTTAAATTCTTCATTTGGATAGTAAAAATAATTTCCAACAAATGGTGTTGACGGTAAACTTAAAATTTTATACTTTGGCCCATCATATGAAAAAAAATGATAACGACATGACGCAATACAATTATCAATAGCGCGCGTTAAATTTTCATTTAATTTTTGACAAACAATTGTATTTAAATAGTTAAGACGATTTCTTAATTGATTACATGCTTCATTTATCCATTCTTGTTTTGTTGATAAATATTCTCGTTTATAAAAATAGATTTTTTCAGCTAAATCAAGATCAATAAAACTTTTCATTCTTTGATATTGTCCATGATTGATTTCAATTAAATTATCATTGTCGTATGAAGATTTATCTGGACAATCATTTAATAATGTTAATTTCCTACTAAATTCTTCAACAATTAAATCGATATTACAAATATAATATTCCCATAAACGCTATTCAATTAATTTTTCATCAAGTAAATAATGACGAATTAATTGTAAATGGTGTTCTTGGATTTTTGCTGGAATACCTTTGGATAGAAGTTTTCCTTCATTTGCATCACAATTAAATTGCATAAGAATTGAATCAAGCAGAACAGCTGGTTTTAAATGTGGCGAATTAATTAAATTATAAGCAGCTTCAGGATGTTGTTTAAGTAATTCACAATCATTTGCTGCATGATTATAAACAAGATCAGTTATTGATAATATTCTCCATTGTTTAGCCATATTATCAATTAATAGCTTTAATTCTTCATATGTTCCTTGAAATAATGGATTTAACTTATGATGATCACTTATTGAATATGATGAATTTGATATACAATTAAGTATTTGTACTGGTGTAAAATGTATCATATTATAACCAGAATGATGTGTCACTTCAAGACGTGATATCCATTCAGATAATGGACCTAACGATTTTGATAATACTGATTGGCATGTTATGCAATCTTGTTCTAATACTTCACCACTTCCATCTGGCCAAAGTAAATATGATTCAACTTGAAAATAACCTTGACCATTAAGATTATCTTTAGATCTGAACAGTTAATTATTTGATTTTTATATAAATTTAAAAAAATCTTTTTAACATACGTTGTTCCATCGATAGTAAAATAATAATGAAACGAACCAGATTGACAACATAAAATAGATACATAACGATTTGAATCGTCATATTTAGTATTTGATGGATAAATCCATTTTAATTCTTGATAATTATTTCGTTGAAATTGATCATTTTCATTGAGACAAGCATTTGTAAATATTCGAATTTTTCTCGATGATAAACCAGCTGATAAAACTATTTGAAGAGTCCATCCTATAATTAGTAAATTAATTTTTTATTTCATTTATTTCAATTTTTTATGCAAACCTGTTTTTAATCGAAATAATTTTTCATTGTTATCTTCATTCTCATTTAAAATAAGTATACGAACTTGTTCATCATGTACACCACCCATTTAAACAGTATTTAGTAGAAAACAATCAACTATATGTATATATTTTTTAGCCTTCGTTTTCTAAATAAATGTAAGATCAAAACATAGCATAATTTGATTGAAAAACGATAGTATCAATTTTAAGTAGTTTTTCTCTTGTCATATTCCAGAATTTCTTTTCCATTCATATCTCTGATAGACAGATATGTATATGTATGTATGATCATCGTGTGTATTCTTTTTCCGATGATTCATCTTTTCTAACTAATCTATATTTGGATTGGTCAGAGTGCACCGCTAATTTTTTGGACTGGCATATATTAATTATATAGTATATCGATTATTTCTAGATTAAAACACTTTTTTTTAGAGAGCAACAAAATGAAAACGGTATAGTTTGATTTAGAATAATTTTCTCCATAGATAGACTAGTGCCTTTTGTATATTGGTGTTTTCGCAATGTTTTCAAGCGACGCCACATGTAATACATTTTATATTGATTCGTTCGCTAAACACAAGCACGCTGTTTTGTCGGCGTAGCAGTGCAGACAGAATTCTCTGCCATGTTCTTCTCGTTTGTAGTGTGTAGATATTTTGTTTCTGTATCGAGTGGAAAATCACGAATATTATTTATTTTTTTCTTCAATTAACGTGAGACACAACTAGTCAAATCAATCTATTCATATGATCATGGTTTTCGTCAACCCATAATAAATTAAAGTTCTTATGAACCCAGTGTAACGATAAAATATGCGACTCTGTTTCACGAGATGCCTAGTTCGAATTCGAATATAAATGGACACCCAACTGCATGGTATCAATTCGAAAATAAGTGATAGAAATAGATCTAGTTTTATATTTAGTTGAAGATGGAGCGGATGTGGGTTGATGGGGACTAAGGGATAACGGTGGGTGCTGGGTGAGAGTGTGCCTAAAGAATACCCGGAAGGGGGGGGGCTAGGATACTTCAAATGTGGTTGCGGGTGATGAATTCCATGGAGTGCTTAAATGTGGAAATGGTGCGGATGAAAGGTATATATGTATTCATATGTCGTATCCCTAGTGACACATCTTGTAAGTAAGATCTTGGCCAAGATCTTGGGTACAGATAAGTGAACAGATCTTGAAAATTTAGGTACAAGCTAATACAGTTATCTTGTACCCAAGATCTTATTACAGATCTTAAGTAAGAATTCATAACATCTTGAATGATGCATTCTGAAGATATGTTTGATATTTTTTCAATATATTTGAATATTAACTATTCCTGTCCTGAATAGCTCAAGCAAATCAAGTGTTGAGATCTGACCGGCTTTAAGTTGGTCCGATATTCGCCAGACCAATTTAGGGTAGTCCTCTCTCGACCATCGATCGAGATCAGCATCCTCTCGATTAATTAACAGTCGAGAAATAGTTTAGAAAAAAAACTTATTTTGTAAAGTTATGTTTTTGCATGTTCAATCATGTTGCTTATATTCTGTTCTGTATGCATAAAAAAAAGGTGAATGACTAGATAGCCTACCCATGTTGCGAATACCGGATCAATTTTTGCGGTAAACCGCGGTATTTATCCGTTCTGCGGTAATGGGAGCCGGTAACCGAACCGGTAAAACCGCGGTAAACCGGCGGTTTTTTGCGCATGTTTATCACATGTGAAAGTAAAAAAAAAGGATCTTTAAAATAGTTTAATTGATGATTTGGAAGACTTTTTCTGTCAAAAATTATAGATGAACCGGTTAACCACTTTTTTTAGCGGTAACCGCGGTATTAATGAAAACCGGCGGTTTACCGCGGTAAATGCCTGTTCATTTTTTGTGGTGAACCGCGGTATTTATCCGTTCTGCGGTAATGAGAGCCGGTAACCGGACCGGTAAAACCGCGGTTAACCGCCGATTTTCATGCGGTTTTTATTACATGGGTATCTAAATAAACTAATGATGTCGCTTTCTGTTATACTCAAGATCTTGTGAGAAGATAATAGTAAAAGAAATCGTTGCCATGATCTTGCTAAGATCTTAGGTGCAGATTTATCAGATAGGACAAGATCTTACCTACCAATCCCAAGATTTCAAGATCTTACTTACAATATGTTTCACTAGGGATATATCTGAAAGTTAAGCTAAAGCTAAATCTAGGAATAGATTTAGCTTTAGCTTAACTTTTTCTTTTCTCCATTTATATTCGAACTCGAATTAGACAGCTACTCCTCTGTTTAGTTCATATCGTAATGACAAACTGGATAGAGGTGGAGTAGCTTACAGCTACTCTAGGCAATGATGTTTATTTGCTTCTTCACATATCCAGAGTGTAACAACTTCATACATAACACACGTTTATATAGGAGAGAGATATATATTAGAACAATGAAAAGAGAATAGAAAAAGGAAGAAGGAGAATCATCAAAACGTGCCATCAATATCGGTACACCCAGGCACATCATTCAGACCGTCTGAAAGATGGCATTAAACTGCCTGAAACGGCATAAGTAATGGCCTAAGCGATGAAAAACGACCGCCGTTTTTCACCGTTTTACGGCCCGTTTTTCCTCGGAACCTTAACGACGTCGTTTAAGGTAGTTTTCAATGGAAAAGGTCGAGAGACAAAAGGACTCTATTTTCGCCCTTTATCGTCCCAGTCTCGTCGTTTTTTGACCGTTTAAAATTAGCGTTACGTTGGCCATATATATTTTATTCCACAAAATAAAATATAATAAATAAATAAAAATACAATAAATACAGTATAAAATAAAATATAATAATCTAAAAAACAAAATTAAAATTAAGAAACTAGAAGATGAAATAAAATGAGTAACACAAAATAGAACGCCTAAAATTCTAAAATGTGAAATAAATAAAACTAAGTACAATAAAATCCAAAAATAATTAAGTGAAATAAAATATATTAAAATAAAATAAAAAATATACAATAGATTACAATAAAATAAAATACAATGAAAAAATAATATAAATAAATCTAAAAAATAAATAAAATAAAATGAATCAAAAAAAAATAAATGAAATAATTTGACGACAATCCCACACCCACACCCTCTCCCGAGCTCCATTTCCACAAAGCGTCTTTGTAGAGCTGTTATATTATGTATGTGATATAAGTAAAATTTGCCAGAATTTGTGGGGCACGACATCTCGAATGCCCTTAAACATTCCTTGACACTTTGGTATGCACCGCGGCTCCTCACATGCAAACCGCTGTATTCTGAACCGCGGTTATTATCGAGTACATCGCGGTTTGAAAAACCGCTGATAACCGCGGTTTTAAATGGGATGAAAATAATACTGCGGTTTTCTCGGATCAAACCGCGGTTTTGTATAATTTTTTTTCCGTGGGAGTGTCTAACGAGAGAACATCTCCAAGTGATACCAACCATTCGGATTCATATTGTGCCCATAAGTAGGACCCAGTAATTACTAGTGAAGTGTCCATTAGTTTGATAGATTTTCTTTTGTTACTAGCAGCAATAAATCTCATATTAAGAGGAAATTTGTTGGTAAATCTTTGAGAAAACTCGAAAAAGTAAACAGTGAATAATTATCTTATTTTAATAAAGATCTAAATAAACGATAAAATAATCAATACTTTTAATTCGACTGGGTTTAATTAACGTTAGTTTTATCTATTTTATTTTAGGACAAAAGAACTAAAATAATATTTATTCTGGCCTTTAATTCTGAATCGATAATATTTGTCTTGTATTATCATCAATTGTTTTTTGCATATGAGCAATTTCTTTTTATTATTGTTAATCATTTTCCTATGATGAGAAACATTTCAAAACAAGATAAAAAATCAAAGTCTGTCTAGTTTTTGGCTGATAATTACATTTATTGAACAAACGAACGAAATTTTTATGAATAATTTGATTTTCTTTCACTTTTCGCTACATCTTATAAATAAAAAACTAAACAAAGAAATATTTATCTTATAAAACTTTAAATCGAATAGATACATAAGATCAAATATATTGTTGTTCATTGAATGGAATAATATATTTTTCTATATAATGTCAGAAACTCAAATCAAATGTAACCTATCATTGATATTCAATAATTCAATGGTAACAACTTTGATGATCAATGAGCATAGTTTTCTATGCTTAGAAATCTACTAACTAATAATTTTGTTTTCCATATGGCTTTGCTTATAAAAATAGATCGATGGTTGATTTTAAGTATAGAACGATTTTTTTATTTCGTTTGTCTTTTACTAAAAATTGAAAATATAAGACGAATATAGTTTGATATTTACGCAAATCATTGGTTAATTGTTACAATATTACAAAGAAATAAATCACATGTAATAATATGACTAAGAACTTTGTTCTCATTAAATAAGATTTTTCTGAAATTCTTGATTTAGGAAATTGATTTTGATATGAAATATTCTTTCTCAATTTAAAATAACGACAATTTCTTTTCTTCAAACAACCTCAATTATCATCATCAACACTGTTTTGACAGTTGACGACCTTAGTATAGACAGACAAAGTCATTGACGCTCGACGGAATCAAAAAGATCTTTTCATAGTTAATGACCTGGTTGTTACTTATGATAAAATTTAAAACAAAGAAAATTCTTCTAATTAAATTCATTGTTCTTTCAAAAAACGTTTTTTGCGCTTAATCGAATAGTTAATTAAATGTTTGAACGATGAATTTCTTAAAAGTTCGTTTGGTAAATAAAAGATATTTGTTTTGATTTAATTTATTTTTGTTTAATTAATTAGAATGAAGATGAATTTAATATTGAATTGCGCCATTATTATTTAATTCAATTGATATTAAATGAAAAATGGAATGAGACTTTAAATCTTTTAGAACAAACTCCTTCTATTCATTCAAATCTTATTCAATTTCAATTTAAAGTTAACTTTATTTTCTTAGTTGTCTTTTTATTTCTTACCAAGATTTTTTTCAGTGTTTATCAATGAAAATAGAAAATATTTTCCGAGAGAGTAATTATAATAAGTCGGCTGAATTCTCTAATAAAGAAGAAAGTTTTGTTTGTTATAATAAAAATGATCGAAGTTATTCATCGTCATCATTAAACTCGATTGAATCGTTTCATCAAAATATTTTATTTTCCTCAAAAGGAAAATTTTATAAGAAGAAATCTTTCAATTGGATACAAATGGGTAAAGGTGAATGTGAAATTTTTCAAAATAGTCCAACAGGTTTTCATTTTATTTATTTAATTAAAAAAGAAAAAGAATGAAATATTTTAAAGAAATATTTATTCGACTTTGGATTGTAAAAAATTCTTCAATAAAACTTGTTCTTCTGGTTAATATTATTCAATTAGATCATTTTTCTCTTTTATCAACAAAAATGTCTTCATTAACAATTCAATTTCAAGCAAAAAATCAATGTGACTATCCACTTTCAAATCATTTTAATTTATATAAATTGAAATTTAATGTAAATATTAAAGTATCTTCGTTTTCTAAAGAAATCTCTTTTCTATATTTTAGTCAATGTTTGATTTTATCCAGTTGAAAACTGCATTAACATTGAGATGAAAAGAAGACTGATTTTGTCACCCGTGATAAAAAATCATAATTAGGATATATTGTTTTTTTCTTAATGAGAGAGAAACATTGCCATGAGACTATAGAAAAATAGCAAAAAGGATATTCGCATATTTATTTTCTTGTTTATTTTAATGTAGAACATATCTATATGTGACCTTCGTCCTACAATTATTTGATAAAGAAAAAAACATAATTAATCAATAAGAAGGAAAAAAACTAGAAACAAACAACTAATAACAATAATAATCATAAGAGAAACTCAAGCAATGTTTATCCTTATTTTTCTATCTTTTTTCATACTCTTGGGACAAATCATTGTCTATATTAAGACCGAAAAAGAGAAAAAGAGACGAGAAAATAAGCTAGCCGATATAGAATTGTTGCATTTGAGTGTCAGTCATATACACAAACGTACCAAAGAATAATTTATCTATTTGTTTCATTATGGGAATATTAAGAGGAAAAGATTCAGCTTTATCACATATTGAACAATCTAAAACAGCATTTTTGGCAACATTATCTGACGTTGAACAAGGTGCATCAACACATACAATGCCACCTAAAGATCATTATACATTAAAATTTAAACGAGAAACAATTAAAAATTTAAAAGGACGTGTTTATGAAACAATGAAACAATATTCATATGAACAATTAGGTAAACGAAAAAATAAAAAGAATAAATCTAATTTTTATTTAATTGGCACTATTTTAATTAAGGTGAAAGTATTCCTGCATTTTTAAATAATAAAGAAGCAGATGATTCTCAAGTTGCTTTATTTCATCCAACAAAACCTGCTATACCAACAGTTGGTCATCAATATGTTGCTTGTATCTATGAAGATCTTAAAATAATTGATTGTCTTATTGAACTTGATTGGAGTGAAGTTGACGAATTAGTTAAAGTCTCCAATGCAAGACGTAAATCAGTCGTTTAGATATAGATATACGTATAGATAAGTTTCTTTTTTGAAAATAATTTTTAATGAAACCTTTTAACCTGATTTTAAGATTTTTTCGTCTTCGTCTTCTTCTTTTTCTTTTTCTTTTATTTGATTGCATGATTTCATTTATTTAAGAAATAAACAATATTTAATAAAATAACGAAATATATTTTTAGAAATTGATATGAATTCATGGATGAATTAACAACTGTAGTTGTTGTTGTTGTTGTTTTACTTGATTCTGTTGATGGAATTATGCTTGTTTCTTCAATTAAATTTGTTGACGTCATCAAAAACGTCTTTGTTGTTTCCTCGATGAAAACAGTTGTTGACATTGTATTAGGATTTGTTGTTTCTTCTATTAGATTTATTGAAGATGTTGTTTCATCTACAATATTTTCTGGACATTTTTTATCAACTAGAAATAAATCTGATTGGCAAAAACAAGCATAATGAAAACTAGTATTAGTTGTGATAAAAAATGTTGATTCTTCTGAACAGAAAGCCTCTTTTGAACCACAAATATTTTCTCGATGGCAAATTCCTAATTAAGAAACAAAATATTAAGATATTAGAAAGAAAAAGAAAACTAACGACAAGGACGATTTATTGTTGACTGAAGATTATCAGGACAAGTACATATTGTTGTATTCTTATTTACGATAAACCATCGATATCCATTTAATGGAATAAAATATCCACTTAAATCACATATAGTCCATCCTAATTTAAGTTATAAAAAATAATAATTAATATATGAAAGTAAATATTTATTAAGTTAACCATGTTGCTCAATTGGATTGGATTTAATTAAAGAAATTAATAATGAAACAATAAAAAAAAATTTTATCATGTTTTTTAGAAATGAAATATTCAAACGAAAAGTTATCTTCGATCAAATGATTAATAATATTATATTAAAATTAGCAGATGCTTGTTTTCTCATCGATTTATGAATAATAAGTTTTATTTTCTTTAGCAATTTTTATTATTTCTTTTCTTTTTTCAATAATTTCAATGCATTTTGCATGACTTCATTTATTAAAGAAATAGACAAGATTTAATGAAATAATCAAAGACACTTTTATAGAATATTCTCAACGGGTTGATAATTTACATTGGTATTCAAGATTGATTGTCGGAATTATAAGTTGTCGTTGTTTCTTCTATATACAAAAAAAATGAACTAATACTCGTAAATTATTTAAAAAGATAACAACCTAAATTAGGCGCTTCTTCGGGACATGTTTTACCATATTGAATTAAACCAGATGAACAGTAGAGGGCTGCATGGTGCAGAATTTTTATAACCTGTAGCCTGTAACCTGCCCTGCCCTGCCCTGCTATTTTTAAAATAGAGGTATATCCAAAATTTCCTATCAGTATTTATAATACATTTAATTATATGCACTTCAAATTTGAATTGGATAAAAATAACGCTTAATTTCTTCAAGATTTCTAATAGAAAAATATCGAATAAACAAAACTGGCTGCAATCTATCATAGCCGATCATTTTTTATATTATGAGTGCTTTAGTCTCGGTAAATTCATCTTTCTTCATGCATAATTTTTTAAAAAGATGCCGGAAATGTCGGTTGTTCAAAATTAATCTCAGGTTAACAGGTTACAATATGGAAAACCTGTAACCTGCCCTGTAAAAATTTCATAACCTGGTCCTGTCCTGCTATTTTCGCAGCCTGTCCTGTCCTGCCCTGTCAGGGCAGGCCAGGTTACGTGCACCCTGCAGGGCTCTAATGAACAGAAACAAGCATAATTAGAAATTTTATTTGACGAAACAAATAAATTTGACTCTTCGGAGTAATGAACGTTTGGCGAACCATATATATTTTCTCGGTCACATATTCCTATTCAGAATAAGTATTAAATTAAATAACAATCGAATAAAATGAATCAAATAACTAACGACAACGTTTGCCATTTGAATAAAGATTATAGTCTGTTAATTATTCGTTAAGGTCTACGAAAGGATCGACAAACCTATCAAAGATCTCGGGTGTGCAGAGACATACACATATGTATTGAAAAAAATGTGAAAATAATCAACCAAAATCTGCATAAAAATAGTAGATTGTGTACTCCTCAGAGAATCAAATTCCTATTTCATACTGTCTCGAAATCATGTATAAGATTTTAATTAAATTAAATTGATAATTATACGTTATTACGTCAAATTCCGATCCCAGATCGACTGATCCGACATCGGATCCGATAGGAACCTGAAAATATTCTACAATCAGATACAATTCTATTGGATTCCGGGTCGAGGAATCGATGTCGGATCCTCAGTGTCGAAATCCTATGAACTTCCGATGACATACAACGATTTTTCCTTGGAACTCATAGGAATCCGACACTGAGGATCCGGTATTGATTCGTCGACCCTGAATCCAACGATAATTCTGTAAGATCTGACAGGATCCGATAAAATCCTATTGGATTCCAGTCGGATCGGATGGGTTCCGATAGGTGCCTACTGTCGGGTTGCTCGACCTGGGTCGCATTCTTAGCAAAATTCTATGATTCTCCATTAGTATATTTAGCCATTTTGATGGCTTCATCCAAACACTACTTTGCGCAAAACGTTTGAGCCTAGAGCTCTAATAGCTCCTGTGCAAAGAAATAATTGATTAACAATTGAAAAATCTCAATGAAAACACCAAGTTCAGCGTTTTCTACTTATTGATCAACTCTTCATTATTGAAACTGCTCTAATCTTAGATTAGGATGAAAGAAAAGAAAATAGTATATAGGACACGACTGTTCTAAAGGTTTTCATTCAACACCAATATTTTCTTACTTCATTTTAGTTTGATAGGAAGTACTTCCAATATTAGAGAAGGTTTTAAACTTTTTACTAGTATTAATTTGATGCGAAAATAAAAAAGAACAGTCGAAAAAAACTTCCCAAACAAGCTTTTGAAAATTTTTATGCAGATTCAAAAATTCGAGTCGTCTAATACGTTTCTCCAACTTTTTTCCAAGAAGGTCTTCTATTATAAGGGGAGAGGGAGTTTATTTAAATAAGCCATAACAAAAGTGCCAGTAGAAATGTTTTAATCATCTTTTATTAAATCAGATAGTGAAAACAAAAAAAAGAATTTTTTTATTTTTATGACTAGAATGTAATAGATAGTTTTTTTTCATCGATTATGAGCCACTTTTCGTCTTTATAATGTTCCTTTTTGTGTGTTAAGCTAAATTTTCTAAAGACTCCATCTTTTGCCTGAAAACATTTCTTCAAACACAAATAGATTCCGTCGTACTTCTTCAGTAACACAATCATTGCATGACTTTCGACTTCATATTATTCCAATATCAATCTACCTTCGATGATTCACTATCGAACTACTCGGTCAGTTCAACAAAATGTTCCAATAGCATTTGAGCTCGTAAAAAAGATCCTAAAATGCATCGAGTCTTAACGATACTTACAAGATGTCAGACTGTTCCAGGTAGGAATATGAAATAAAGGCATCACACACATGGTCAAGAATTCGTAGGGCATTTAGCAAACTCTACTGAAAGTTATTCAAGGTTTCGATTTTAAATAGTCTGTTGATAATTTATGAGAAAATGTGCATATTCACCCCTAATTAAGAAAATGTTTTTCTCCGTCGGAACCGACAGTCAATCCGTAATCCCATCGGATTCTGTTGGGTGATAGGATCCGTCATAGGATTCACTCACCTGGGTATAATTATTCAACTTACAATAACATTCAGCACGACGCTTATGATGTAATATAACAAAATCCTTCTTTGTTTCTTCATTCTGGGTTTGAATGACTTCAGTAAAACACTAGGATTAGAACATATTCATATTCTGGTTAAACAAATAATATTCTAGTGGACATACTTCAATAGCACCCGCATAATTTTCTTTGTCAACTTCAACCTCTCACATATTAAACTGTTCATCCGACATAGTATCGTACTTTGATCGTTTCAAAAGAAATATTACGCATATATTCGCACATTCATAGACATATATATATATATATATATATATATATATATACAGGAACAATGACCCTGACGTCGCGCGAAACAGTAGATGGGAAAATATCGACAGGAAAAATGTCGAAAGTAGAGTCACTACCGTCCATGTAAGTGAAATTTTCATGGCTTAACTCACATGTACTGTGACGCGTACTTTTGACATTTTCCCCATCACATCGCACGAAACAAGACTGACGAGTGTGAATAAAACAATCATCAGTTGTAGATGTCCCTAGAGTCTAGTGAAATATTTTTTTCTTACGAAATTTAATTAATGATTTATCAAAAATCACTGAGCTACTACTCACTCACTGAATAAAATAAATAAAAAATATGTCAAAATTTATTTAAGGAAAAAATGAATATATTCAATTAAACAAAATGGAAAAGCGACATCTTTTTTTTTACCATACGGACATTGTTGATAAAAATTGATAGCCAATAAGGAAGACTTGTTGTTGTTGACTTGAACCACTGTGTATAAATAATGATGTTCTGATGAAACATTGTTTAGTCGTAAAAGGTTGAAGTTGACGTAAGATGGTTTACTTCAACTCTCAAATAGCCGATTCGATAGCACCATATAGAAATGTTCGTCGAGTACAGTTTGGAATATTATCTCCCGATGAGATAAAACGTATGTCAGTGACAAATCCTCCAATTGAACATCCAGAATTGATGGAAGGAGGAAAACCTAAAGATCGTGGTCTCATGGATCCACGTCAAGGTCCACCAGATAGAAATTCTAAATGTAAAACATGTGCTGGATCATATATTGAATGTCCTGGACATTTTGGTCACATTGAATGTGAGATTTATTAGATTCTTCTTTTTTCTTTGTTATCTTCGAACTATAATTTTATTGTCTTTAGTAACAAAGCCGGTTTATCATGTTGCTTTTCTTGCAAAAACTTTGAAAGTTTTACGTTGTGTGTGTTATTATTGTTCAAAATTGCTTATTGATCCAAGTGATCAAAAAATTATTGATATTATGAAAAAAACCAAAGGACAATATCGTCGACGTCTTGCTTATGTTTTTGATGCTTGTAAAGGACAAAAAACTTGCAAAGGTTTTTATTTTAATTTTTTTTAAACACATTCGTTAAATAATGAAAAAAAAACAATCTAATCTAATAGGAAGTGAAAACCAAAATCAAAATGAAGTAACAACAAAATTTTCTGGTGGTTGTGGTCGTCCTCAACCGAAATATCGTCGATCTGGTTTAGATTTATCTATTGAATGGAAGGAAGCACCAGATGAAAATCAAGAAAGAAAAACGAAATTATCAGCTGAACGTGTTCTTTCAATATTTAAAGCTATACCAGACCAAGTTTGTCATCTATTAGGAATGGATCCACGTCATGCCAGACCAGATTGGATGATTATTACTGTTTTACCTGTTCCACCTATGGTAAATTACTTTGTTTCTTTTTAATTTCCGTTCGAAAAAAATCTATTAATCATGAATAGAATTTAAATTAAAAGAGAATTTCACCACTATTTTAATAGATTTTTTTGTCAGAATAGAAGAAAAGTTAATTGAAATAAAATTTTAATTGAGAAGTATATATATATTAATTTCAGTGTGTTCGTCCATCAGTATTAGTATTTGGTACAGCTCGTAGTCAAGATGATTTAACATACAATTTAGCAAATATATTAAAAGCAAATAAAACTTTACGTGAAGATGAACAACGTGGTGCAGCATCACATATATTTGATGAACATCTTCAATATCTTCAATATCATTGCGCAACATTAATTGATAACGATATGCCTGGAATGCCACAATCATGTCATAAAAGCGGAAGACCACTTAAATCAATAAAAGCGCGTCTCAAAGGTTCGCTTGTTTATTTTTCTGAGATGAAAATAAAGTAAATTTTCTTCGAAAAAAAAATTTCTTATAGGAAAAGAAGGTCGAATTCGTGGAAATTTAATGGGAAAACGTGTTGATTTTAGTGGCCGAACAGTAATAACACCAGATCCAAATTTAGCAATTGATCAAGTTGGTGTTCCACGTTCAATAGCACAAAACTTAACTATACCTGAAATAGTGACACCATTTAATATTGAATGGTTACAAGAATTAATTCGTCGTAATGCAGCTAAATATATCATATGGGATACAGGCGATAGAATTGATCTTCGTTTTCATCCGAAACCATCAGATTTACATCTACAATGTGGTTATATTGTTGAAAGACATATGATGGATGATGATTTAGTTGTTTTTAATCGTCAACCAACATTACATAAAATGTCAATGATGTCACATCGTGTTAAAGTTTTACCATGGTCCACATTTCGTCTAAATTTAAGTGTAACAACACCATATAATGCTGATTTTGACGGTGATGAAATGAACTTACATTTACCACAATCAGTTGAAAGTAAAGCTGAATTAAGTCAATTAATGATGGTACCACGTTTAATAATAACGCCACAATCAAATCGTCCTGTTATGGGTATTGTACAAGATACATTAACAGCCGTTAGAAAAATGACTAGACGTGATGTTTTTATTGAAAAATGTGATTTTATGAATTTATTAATGTATTTACCATCATGGGATGGACATATACCACAAGCTGCTATTTTAAAACCAAAACCATTATGGACTGGAAAACAATTATTTTCATTAATTTTACCACGCGAAGTTAATTGTGTTCGTACACATAGTCAACATCCCGATGAAGAAGATTCTGGACCAAATAAATGGATATCACCGGGTGATACAAAAGTTTTAGTTGAAAATGGTCGATTATTATCGGGAATCTTATGTAAAAAAACTTTAGGAACATCGGCTGGTTCATTATTACATATTGCTTTTATGGAATGTGGTCATCATATTGCTGGACGTTTATATTATCATATACAACTTGTTGTTAATAATTGGTTAATGTTAGAAGGACATTCAATTGGTATTGCCGATACAATTGCTGATCAACAAACATATGATACAATTCGATCAACGATTGGAAAAGCTAAACTTGAAGTTAATAAAGTTATTGAAAGAGCACATCGTGATTCATTAGATCCATCACCTGGAAATTCATTAAGACAAACATTTGAAAATATGGTTAATGGTCTTTTAAATAGTGCTCGAGATAATACAGGTTCATCAGCTCAAAGATCTTTATCAGATTTTAATCAATTTAAAGCTATGGTTGTTAGTGGAGCTAAAGGTTCGTCAATTAATATATCACAAGTTATTGCTTGTGTTGGGCAACAAAATGTTGAAGGAAAACGTATTCCATTTGGCTTTAAACATCGAACATTGCCACATTTTATTAAAGATGATTATGGACCTGAGGCAAAAGGTTTTGTTGAAAATTCTTATTTACAAGGTTTAACGCCAGTTGAATTCTACTTTCATGCTATGGGTGGACGAGAAGGTCTTATTGATACTGCTGTTAAAACAGCTGAAACTGGTTATATACAAAGACGATTAATTAAAGCTATGGAATCTGTTATGGTTAAATATGATGGTACTGTCAGAAATCAAATCGAACAATTAATTCAGTTTACATATGGAGAAGATGGTCTTGCTGGAGAAAATGTTGAATTTCAATCGATTATTTCGTTAAAACCATCAAATCATTTATTTGAGCGTTTATGTAAATTTGATTTATCATCGGGAGAAAAATATTTAAGAAAATTTTTAACTGATGATGTTATTAGAGATTTATATACAAATGAATCATTACAATTATTAGATGATGAATGGAAACAATTGAATGATGATAGATTAAATCTTCGACAAATATTTCCCACTGGTGATACATCAAAAATTGTTTTACCTTGTAATTTAGAACGATTAATTTATAATGCCAAAAAAACTTTTTCGATTTCAAATCGAACACAATCAAATCTATCACCAATGCAAGTCATTCAAGGTTTACAAAAATTAACACAACGTCTTATTATTGTTAAAGGTAAGTTTTAATTAAGAATTCTTTAAATTAATCTTCCTCTTCTTTAAAAAAACAACAATAGGTGATGATCGTTTATCACATGAAGCTCAACATAATGCAACAATGTTAATGAATATTTTATTACGTTCATCGTTATCATCACGTCAAGTTCTTGAAATTCATCGTTTAACCGATGAAGCATTCAATTGGCTTTGTGGTGAAATTGAAACACGTTTTCAACAGGCACAAGTTCAAGCTGGTGAAATGATTGGAGCATTAGCTGCACAATCACTGGGTGAACCAGCAACACAAATGACATTGAATACATTTCATTATGCTGGTGTATCAGCTAAAAATGTAACACTGGGTGTTCCACGTCTTAAGGAAATAATAAATGTTTCAAAAAAACCTAAAACACCATCACTAACTGTTTATTTAACTGGTCAAGCAACAAATGATGCTGAACAATGTAAACAAGTTTTATGTCGTCTTGAACATTGTACATTAAGAAAAGTAACTGCTAATACAGCTATTTATTATGATCCTGATCCTCAAGAAACAGTTATTAGTGAAGATCAAGAATGGGTTAATACGTATTATGAAATGCCTGATCAAGATATAACGAATATATCACAATGGTTATTAAGAATTGAATTAGATAGAAAACGTATGACCGATAAAACGTTATCAATGGAACAAATATCAGAAAAAATTTGTCAAGGTTTTGGTGATTGTCTTAATGTTATTTTTAATGATGATAATGCTGAAAAACTTGTTTTACGTATTCGTACTGTTGATCAAACAAAATCATCGATGACAGACGAATCAGAAGATACCACACGAATGGATGATGATACATTTCTTCGTTGTTTAGAATCATCAATGCTTTCTGATTTAACATTACAAGGTATTGAAGCCATTTCAAAAGTTTATATGGTTAATCCAAAAGCAGATGAATCAAAGAAACGTATTCAAATATCAGAGAATGGTGAAATTGAAAGAATTGCTGATTGGATGTTAGAAACTGATGGAACTTCATTAAAAAAGGTTTTGTCAACGAAAGATGTTGATTCGCGTCGAACATTTACAAATGATGTTGTAGAAATATTTGATGTTCTTGGTATTGAAGCTGTTAGAAAAGCTATTGAACGTGAAATGAATCATGTGATTTCATTTGATGGTTCATATGTGAATTATCGCCATTTAGCTTTATTATGTGATGTTATGACAACAAAAGGACATTTAATGGCCATAACAAGACATGGAATTAATAGACAAGATGTTGGACCTATAATGAGATGTTCGTTTGAAGAAACTGTTGACGTTTTAATGGAAGCTGCTGCACATGCCGAACAAGACCCATTGAAAGGTGTTTCAGAAAATATTCTTCTTGGACAATTAGCAAAGATTGGTACTGGATCATTTGATTTATTGTTAGATGTTGAAAAATGTTCATCAGCTATGGAATTGCCAATGAATTTCGCTCAAGATACAATGAATGATATGATGCTTGGTCCGGCAAGAAAAGAATTCGACGAACGTAATAGACCGGGCATTGCAACGCCTTGGATTAATTCATTGTCAACAACACCATCACATTGGCCATCAACACCAGCACAAATGACACCCATGATACATGGAGGATTTTCACCATCAGCTAATTCTGATACAATTGGCTTTTCTCCAGCTTATTCACCTGCTTATCCATCGTCGCCTGGAAATATGTCACCATCACCATATACAAATGTTCCATCACCATTATCACCATCAAACTATCCTCCACAATCACCGGGCAATTATGACGTTAGATCACCAAACTATTCGCCTAATTCGCCAACTTATTCTCCAACATCACCAAGATATTCATCAAATGATATTTATGGACATAAATCATCTCATTACAGGTTTTAAATTTATTTTCATTTATTTTTCTATAAAAAATAAATTTTAGTCCTACAAGTCCTTCTTACAGTCCAGTAACAAGTCCAACATATTCAGCAACTGGTGGAAAACAAGGTTCAACATCTCCATTCTACTCTCCAACAAGTCCATCATATAGTTTGTTAAAATTAAAATTAATTCTATACAACTATGGCTTGTGTGTTTACTTCAATAGGTCCAACATCTCCTTCATATTCACCAAATCGTTCATATTCTCCAACCTCACCAACATATTCAGTTCGAAGTCCATCGTTAAATAATCAATCAAATGCAAATCAAGGTTATTTTTTTTTCTAATCATCATTATTATTAATAAATATATATAACTATTTAGGAAATTATCGTACATCACCGAAATATAGTCCAACAAGGTAAATATATTAAAAAGAAACAATTCGAAATTTATTAAATAAATATTTCTAGTCCGAGTTATTCTCCATCATCTCCATCATATTCTCCAACAAGTCCAGGTTATTCTCCATCATCACCTGGTTATTCTCCATCAAGTCCACGTAAAAAAAATATATATTTATAATTAATTTTCAATAAAACTAAAAAAAAACAAATAGGTTATTCGCCATCATCACCTGGCTATTCAACGCATGGTCCATCACCAAAATATTCTCCATCATCGAAATATTCTCCTCAAAGTCCATCATATTCACCGTCGAGTCCTTCATATAGTATGTTATCATTTCATTCGAAAAAGGAATTGTGTATTTAATATTTATCTTTCATTTTTAGCTCCAACAAGTCCATCATATAGTATGTGTTTATTTTTATTTTTCATAAATTAAAAATTTGATTATAAATAACTAAATGAATATTCTTTTTTTTAATACTTAAGGTCCAACATCACCCACATACAGTACGCATTTCAATTCTTTTTTTTTATTTAAATAATAAATAAAAACATTTTTTTTCTTCACAAATAAAAAGGTCCAACATCTCCAACTTATTCTCCTCAATCTCCATCAGGTCCATCAACACCTTCATACAGTAAGTTTATTTTTAATTTACTTATTTTCATTAAATTAATATCAATTTCAATAATAATAAAAGGTCCAACATCTCCAACATACAGTAAGTCAAATTTTAAAAAGTCATCAAGAGAGTGTAAAATAATTAATTAAATTAAGGCCCAACATCACCAACATATTCTCCAAGTGGACATGGTGGAAGTAGCGCATCACCAACATATTCTCCAACGTCACCAACATATTCACCAAGTTCTCCTCAATATTCTCCAACATCTCCACAATATTCTCCAAGTTCACCAGTTTATAAACCTTCAGGTATTTACTTTTTCATTTCTTTATTTTATAAAAAACAAAAAAATAAAATGTTGATATTTAAGGCAATCAATCCGGCTATACATCATCACTTTCACCAACATCACCTCAATACAGGTTTGAATTTTAGTATTATTTTAAGTAAAATAAATACTTGAATATTATTTTTGTTTTAGCCCAACATCACCAACATATTCACCATCCCAATCATCACCGCGTTATAGGTTTGTGCTGTTTATTTTATTCTATAAAAATAAATAAATAATTACATTTTAGTCCAACATCTCCAATTTATAGTCCAAATATTGGTTCACCTCGTTATAGGTAATTTATTGAATAAAATAAAAAATATTTGTTTTTGAAAAACTTGTTTATTTAGTCCAACATCTCCTCAATATTCTCCTCAATCTCCTGCATCATCAACAATATCATCATCGATATCATCACCACGTAATAATGATGATGACGATTTAAATGACAATGGAGATCTTATGGATTAACAAAAATAAAATATATATTGTATATTTGTTTCGTTGAAAAACAAAAAACGTTTTTCTCATTGATTGAAAATAAAGATGACATTTATCTGTAAACTTTTTTCTCTTTCGAAAAGATAATTCGAAATAAATCTAATCAAAAATGGTTTCAATCAATTTGAACTTCAAATTTATTTTATTATTTTCTATAAAAAATCATTGTTGAACTAACTAGTTTACTTAAAACATACAAACAATGTGAATAACTGTAAAAATGAAATATGAATAAAATAAATATCTTGATGACTACAGTCGATAAATAAATGAGAAAACTTCAGATTCACATCCGATTGTTACGTATACTGCAAAAACTGAGTCGATTTATATGTTTTGAATAATTCTGAGAAAAAATGTGTTTTGAAAAACCCTATACTCCCCCTCAGGGATGGTCTGATCAATAATGACAATTTTTTCGATAACTCAGCCATTTCTTGACGGATCCTTCTCATCTTCGAACTCGACTGAGATATTGATGAGATCATTCTATGTACAAAATTTCATGACAATTGGATGAGGCTTTCACAAGTTATCGTGTTAACGGCCGGACATACTGATCGAATCTAGTGTACTCTCTTTTTGAGTACACAAAAAGAACACGTAATAAAATCAGAGAGAAGAAAAAAGAAATATCTTGATGAATATGTATGCATAGAAAAATAATGAGAAGGTTTTCAATGAAATAGAATAAAAAAATAAACGTGATAGATTCTTATCTACGCATACGTGTTACTATTTTCTTGTTTCAGTTTTCTTCAATTTATTCGATGGGTAACGATAAAAATTTTGTTCCAACTGAGGATTTACCGTTTCGTTTAATTGAAACTCCAATTGGTTCAGCTCCTTTTGAAGATTTTCAAACTATTCAATGCCATAGATATAATAAACCTAATAATCAATCGATAAGTCAATCACGTTTTGAAGGATATGATGCACCTCCATCACTTCTTCCTCCTCCAATTCTACCCAAGCGATATGATGAACCAATATTAAAAATACCTCAAAGATCTGATCGTCAACAATTAAATTCAAAAAAAACTTCTATAAATACGAAGAATCATCGAAGAAAAATTCACAGAAAGCAGGTAACATGCTGCGTTCTATCTTAAAATTACTTTTGAATTTTTCTCATCTTTTATATTATTTGTCTGTAAATTAACTGACAAATTAATTTTTATTTTAAATAATAAATAACTGATTTAATATAATAACAGAAATTCATTCACTCTGTAAATGGAATTTTTCGATCGCCAAATTAATTAAGAAATGAGTAAATTGAAGTAGACACAGTTAGAAATCATAGTTTAAGATAATTTCATTTTTAACAAGAAAAATATAAGTTTTACTATTATTTCGCAGAACATCTATTAGCTGTATAAAGTGAATAGAAGATATATTAAAAAAATGAATTATATATAGCGAGATCGAAATGTATAGAAACTTTGTTTAATCAAGATCAATAGATGTATTTTGAGTTATTAATTACTTTCAAATTAGATTTTACTGATCGATCACCCATTTTCTATTCACTACGCAATTTTCAGACCAATTCTAAGATTATAAAATACAGCAATGAAATAGAGATATTTAAATATAAGCAATTCAAAAAATGTCCCAATAGTTGCGTTTTTCTCCAAAGATAAAAATGTTTTAAGTAAACACAATTCATTGTTAATATAAGATAAGAAAATTGCACCATCAGTTAAAACTATTGTGTAAGAGCGATTTAACATTGCAACTATAAATAGTAGTTATAGTTCGCTAAAAGATTCTCTATTGTCGATCCGTAACAGAAATGATTTCAAATACAATACATTGTGAAATAATTGCAAACAATTTAATTGAACCAACAACAATACAATTAGATGAAAAGCATCATGCTCTTTATGTATTAACAAATCAATTGACTCGAATTGATTTGAATAAAGACAAAAACAATGCAGAAATTGTTTATCAATATAATAGAAAATTTCAGCAAAGCAATAATCAGAATCAGAATGATGATGAAGAAGAAGATCAATATTCTCAAGGTGAATCAGATGATGAACGCGACATACCTCGTGTATCAGATCCATTTGATGATAGTGAACCATCAACAGATGATGACGACGAAACAATTCTGAATCGACGAAATTGGCGGCGATATGGATGGAGAATTTATCAATTAGATAATCCCTGTTCAATATTATTCTTGCCAGAAAATAATCAACTAGTTGTATTGAATGAAGGTGTCATTACATTTTTGACCATTCAACTCGAAGATCATCGTCCGTTTGTTGAAGGACCATCAAAAAATATTTTCTGTTACGATTTCGATGTGTTCAATAGTGATGCTAATCGTAAAAGTGTTCAGCCATGGTCGATTGCGCCAACATTGAAAATTAACCTTTTCGTTTTTAGTCTACTTGATGACTGTCAACTTTATTTACTTGATATGCAAAATGAAACTACAATGATACGAAAATTAACTACAACATCTATATACAATTGTCCATATTTAGTTTTTCATTGTCAATCAAACAATATTTTGGTTTATAATTCAACAGAAATCTTAGCTGTATCACTAGATAATCAAACTGTAGTTGAAGTTAATTTGGAGTTTATGAAAGAAAAAAAATTAATTTCAAGTATAACAATTGATAAAATGGGATATATTTATATTTTGTCTCAATCGATACTTTTCAAATGCATTTGGCAAAGTCAACTTCATTTGATCGCATGTTTAGGAAAACTTGATGTCTTAATAAGTAGTCCTCAAATCATTGTAACTGATCAAGGTAATGAATTTTATTTCTCAGACATGGAAACTGCTTGTATTTATCGATCAAAGACAATAACGACTTAAATATATATAGATAACGCGAAAAAGTATCTCGACTAAAACACATTGTTGGTTTGTTAGTTTTTTTAACTTCATGCATAACTATCACTTAACCATAGTTGAATTACATTTGACTATCAAAAAATCAATTACAAATATTTCTATTAAGTATTTGTGTTTAATTATTTGCTTGCATTTGGATTGATTTTGAGTGATGTTCTTTAAAATAAATTCTTTGACGTGAATTATATGCAATATTTTATGAAATGAAATGAAACTAATAATAGATTGAAATTTCAAGTGATATCATTTTGCTTTTTTTTCTTCAAAACTAATTCTTATTCATTTGTAAAATATTTTATTTATCAGAATATTCATTGACTCGATATCTTCTCTCTTCTAAATATAAATAATAGGATTTTCAAAAGAGAAACAAAATTATTCAAAGAAACATTGTATTTTGGTTGACTGTTTGAAAATAAGAATTAGTTTAAAAAATGATTATTCTTTTATCAGATGATATTTTATTTATTTAAGATAAGACAACTTAGACAATGATTAGATAAACCATAAACAGCAAAAGGAAATAGAAATAGTTTGTTTTTTTCTTTCTTTTTTAAGTAATAGATTTTAGAGAAATTTCTCATGAAAGATTATCATGGGAAAAACAAATGAGTTAATAAAATGAATCGAACAAAATGATTATTATCAAAGGAACACAATAAAGTATGATTTATTGCATTAATCAATTGATTAGATTTTCGGCAATGTCTCTACTAGGAATTTATTGTTTTGACAATCATGGGTGTGGTTCAATTTGTACTAGAAATCATTTTTCTCTTCTTTTATTATTCGTTTCTTTGTCTAATTTTTATTTGTGAAATTTTTTTTTCTGAATTATTTCCATTTAACTAATATTTAAAATAAATAAATGAAGAAATTTTTTTCTTACAAAAAAGCCAATGATTGTTTTTAATGATAAAGAAAGAGAAAGACTATTTATTATTTATGTTGACATATAAATAGAAGAAATTCATCTTTTTATTGATGTAGATTTAGTGAAGACATATTTCTTCTGACAAATGCACACAGCCGGTCGAGACACTAATGATTTATCTGATCGACAACATAGATCATCATTGTCCTTGTCTTTGTCTGTTATTGTTCTATTCTTTTTCTTTCTCCGCTAAGCCCTTGATAATTACTCGGCTCATCGATCGATATAAGTAAATGTATATGTGCGTGTGTATGTGTGGCGACATTCATATGTGCGTGCTTCTCTATCGTTGCATCAATAATAAACACATGAGTTAGTGATAAGGAGATCGAATTGCACATGTATTTATGTCTCGCGAATAATTCAACTCCGTGCAATAAAGAATTCTTTTTCTTTCTATCAATATTTGTTCTACTCCGCTCGCTGAACGTGTGCCCTCTTTGTATCGAAAGAGAACAAAAACGAGCGAAAAATGTCCGTTGTCCCGTTAGGTTCACCTTTTTTATCGTCATCGGGCAACAATGTTGATATTAACTATGAAAAGGATTCTTCAAGCGTATCGTCTCTTATTGTCGACTATACTTTATTAAATTCAATCATTGAATCAAATCAATTTGAAAAAACTCTTGAACTTTATTCATTAATGTTGAACAGTTGTTTGAATAATATCGAAGAAAAAATCTCTTTTGAGATATTTATTAATGAATTTATTGAAGAATATTCTCAAATTCAATCAAATGAATTCAAAGAATTAATTGCAATATTTCAAAATAAATATTTTTGTTCATTTATATCTTCATATGATTTAATTCTTCAACATTATTATCAAGAAAAAAAACTTTCTTCAAATACTAAATTTAACGTATCTGATAAAAATAACGACGACGATCATCACGATAAAATATCAAGAAAAAAGGATCATGTAAATTTTTTTGCTTATTTTTCTCGTTATCAAATATATTTTTTTTTGTTTCTGAAAAAAATCAAATAGTGTTCAGAGAAAGATGAACAAAATTCAACTGTATCAATGTTGTATTCAACGAAATTAATTGATGAAGAAAAAGAAAATTCAAATTATGCATCAAAATTAGCTGAATATAATGTTGGTCGTTTAAAAATAGTTCGGCTAGAAAAACGTCAAGGTGAACCATTAGGTGCAACAATTTCTCGTTTATCTGATCATGATTATCAAATAATAATTGCTCGAATTGTTCATGGAAGTATTGCACAAGGACTTTTTTCAATTGGTGATCAATTACTCGAAATAAATAATATTAATATACAATCTGAATATCGTACACTTGATGAAATTGTTCAATTAATTGATTCACTTCATGGAACTATTTCATTTCTACTTATGCCATGCGATGAAATAAATCACGGAATACATAATCAAGCTTTTAATCATAATCAAGGTTTGTTTTTTCTTTCTTTTTCTCTCTTATTTTATTTTCTTTCATTTTAGATGACTCATCTGTCATATATGTTCGTGCTTTATTTTCCTATGATCCATATGATGATATGTATATTCCATGCCGAGAATTAGGTCTTTCTTTTGAAAAATATTCAATATTAAATATAGTGAATCGAGATGATCCATCATGGTGGCAAGCTGTTATTATGGAAAATGATCAAAATAATAAAAAACAACAATTACCTGGTCTTATACCATCAAAACAATTTCAAGAAAAACGTTTCAAAATTGTTAAATGTTTATTAGATGAAGAAACAAGTCATTCAAAAAAGAAATTTAAAGATAAATTCAATAAATCAATTGCAAAACAAACAACAAGACAAAAAATTCTAACAACATTCAGGTTTGATTTATTTCTATTAATTTAAATAAATTTTTATATAATGTATTTAGTTTTAATATCTATGAGCCAGTTGAATGGTATATACCAAATGAATTACAGAAAAGACCCATTGTTTTAATTGGAGCTCCACATATAGGTCGACATGAATTACGACAACGTTTAATGAATTCTTCACAATTATCATCATTAATCGATGTTGCTGTACCACACACAACCAGATTAAAAAAACAAGATGAAATCGATGGACGAGATTATTATTTTATAACACGAGAACAATTTGAAAAAGATATTTCAAATGATTTATTTGTTGAACATGGTGAATATGAAAAAAATCTCTATGGAACATCAAAATTAGCTATTGAAGCGTGCTGTCATATATATAATAAAATTTGTATTCTTAACTTATTGCCCGAAGGACTTGATTCATTAAAATATTCAAATATATTACCTTTCATTATTTATTTAAAATGTCCATCAACAATTGAAAAGCTACGAGAATATTTTTATGTTAATGATCAACAATGGATAGAAATTGAAGAAAAATCTCGTTTTATTGAACAGAATTATTCACATTTATTTGATAAAATTATTTATTTAAATGATTCATTTGATTATGTTTTTTCTCAACTGAAATTTTTAGTTAAAGATGTACAAACTAAACCTATGTGGGTTAATCAATGTTGGTTTTCTCCTAGAGAACGTTTTTAATAATAAAATTTATTTCTTAGAAAAATACAAATTCTCGTTTCATATTTAATATTATATTGACTAACTCTGTTTTTTACAAAATAAAATAAAACAGTCATACTTAAAATATAGTTGGCTAGAATTTAAAAAAAAAGTATTCGATGGGTATGTGATCCGGGAATATCGACCCAGGTGAACTAATCCGACATCGGATTCCATCGGATCTCTTAGGATCCAACATTCCGACAAAAACCTGACGGATTCCTGGTTGAGGAATCGCTGTCGGATCCGACGGACAAAATCAATTTTCTTAATCAGGAGTGAATAAGCATCTGATGCCATAAAAATACAAGGGTTATATGCTAGCGTCGGTTTCCGTTGAATTCCGACACAGGTTTTTCTCGGATTCCAGCAGCAGGGATCCGACTGTAAATCCGTTTCCAGGAATCCAACGGAATTTCATCGGTTTTATTAACATTTTAATGATATCGGATAGGATTCCCTCTGAGATCTTATCGGATCCTACTATCGGAATGATTCTTCTGGGTATGGCAGCAGAAATTCTGTTATTCTTTTTGACGTATTCAGGATAAAAATAAATTACTTATGTTCTCGATATAAAAATAGTTTCTAGAGTCTCAGTCGTGATGTTGTGTATATTTTCATTTACTTTCAGGCAATGTTAATTAAAAATCAACGCTGAAAGAAATAGAAAAAGCTCGTGCTGTCGGTGCACTGTTCTCGAACATTGATCTCTTCAATGAGTAACCTCATCGACACAAAAGAAATTGATTGAATCATACAAATGCATTGATACTAGCAAACAAATGTGTGTGTACATCTAAGAGAAGTTTCTCTTTAGAGCAGTGCAAGTGAAAAATCTGGCAAAGATTAGCACAGAAATACAAATACATTCGCAAGTCAAGTCTACGGATCATATAATTTGGCTAATGGAATAAAAACAATTACTAACTTTTATACCTAATTAATGGAAATATTTCAAATCAGATCGTCTGATCGAATTTGACTATGTTTGATATTAACTCCAATAAACATCATCAGATCAAGTCATCAAACTGTTTATTCGTGTAATACAAGTGTATCATGTGATTGTTTAACGAACTCAGCAACAGTGTCTCGTATTGTAGGTGGAGAAGATGCTAGTTCACCTACATGGGGTTGGGCTGTTTCAATCCGTATTGGTGGTAGTAGACTTTGTGGCGGATCGATCATATCAAGTTTATGGATTGTCACAGCAGCCCACTGTGTTGACGGTCGTACAGCGGCTCAGTTCATTGTGTATGCTGGATAAGATGAACGATGGTTCGGAAGTCAAACACAATCTATATCAATGGTAATATCGTATTCGGAATATCATGGGGCAACTGCTGTCAATGATATTACAATGTTAAAACTTTCTTATCCGTTGCCAATGACTGATTCTTATGTGAGTTCTATTTGTATACTATCGGTTAGTCAAGCTACTCTATCGGCTGGTGAGTGGCCACCAGCTGCAACAAACGTAAGAATCTTATTATTTTTAGAATATATGTTGATAGGCAGTAGTTGTTGGATTGGGAACATTAATTGAGGGTAGTTCATTACCAACAACACTTTAACAAGTCACCTTACAAACAGTAGATTATCGAGCATCGACTTACACTCCAATGATGGCTGATTGGACTGTTCAACTTTATGCCGGTGTATCAGGTGGTGACAAAGGTAAATTTCTCTTTCTCCGTCTACAAACATATATTTTTTGTCATTTATTTAGATACTTGTCAAGGAGATTCAGGTGGTCTATTGATGATATTTAGTTCAAATAGTCGATGGATGTTAATTGGTGTGACAAGTAGCGGTATTGGATGTGCGCTGACTGAATACTCGGGTATTTATACGCGAGTAGCTGCTTATAACAGTTCGATAAATTCGAATACTAATGGTAGTATTTCAAGTTTTCATTTGTCGCAATCTAGTAGTGCGTTTAGCACTGACGATGCAACTCTTACAAATAGTTCAACAACTGAGACTCATTTATGTATGAGGACATTAGTAAAATTACTTTTTATGGTTTTATTTTTATTGTAATTATTTTTCTTATTGTATCTTTCTATGAAACAGACATATGTAAATACAATAATTGATCTAATTCTTTTGTCATTCTCATAAAAGCTGTTCGAACTTGAAAAATGTTGTTACTTTCATTGTTAATTCTGTTCTCTCCAACTTTTAGCATAATATACAAATAGATTGATAGTTTAACATTAATCATCCCAAAAGTGAATAGAACAATTAATTACTAAATTTTATCCCTTTACTTTTACAAAAATATACTTTAGCAGACAATAGAAAATATTATACTATGCAACAATATTTTCCAAAAATTTAGTGTGGAAAGTTGAAAACTACTGGTAGGTATTGATTGCAGTTTTAGATTCTCCAAAATTCGACGTTTTCTTTCATATGTACATATAATTAATGAATATCGAAAATAAAGTATCAACTGGATTAGATGCTACATATTGAATGTACATTTTATAGTACTGCCAAACTTGCAAGCAACATTTGAAAATGGTAGGAAGAGAAAGCAAATCAATTCTGTCTCGTTTTTTAGGTAAACAAACTTCAAGAGTTCGATTAAAAGCAAGACACAAGTATTCCTTCTGAAAGCAACTCTCTGATTTTTAATTGTTAAAAAGTTCGAAATAGAAAGATGCAAGAAAAATATTCATTCTCGATGATCAACATTTTCTTCATGTGTACTAGTGTACTGCAGCCGGGTCGGGTAACCGGCACCCGACCCGACCCGGTACCTGGGTCCGGGTGAAAAGCTCCGGGTCGGGCCGGGTGCCGGTTCTGGAAAAAAAAGTCGGGTCGGGCTGAGGAATTTTCAAAAAACCGACACCCGACCGGCCAACTAGTGATATCTAG